GTAAGTCTTTGTCAAACAATGACAAAAATATATACAATTACACCGTAAAGGCTAATTTGATCAAAATTAAAAACAGATCTAACATTTAAAAAAGGTTTTACACTGTTCATCAGTTGTGTGAGTTGCTGATGAGATAATTTTAAGTACATTTCATCATATCACATGATCTTCTTAACATGACCCATAGTGAGTGACACAAACGAAACTTCCCTGACAAATCATTAGCCTAGCTATCACCGAACCTCAAGGCTTTGAAAAAAGCTTGAACCTACATGTACATATAGTACATGTGCTTGCCTCCAAGGACCAGTGCACCTTTCAATACTGCTTGTATTACCCATGGTTATGGGCATGGCCTTTGTAGACATACAGGTATGACTCTCATGGCTTAAAATCAAAATCTCAGAGAAGGCTGAACTCAATGGTCCATATTCTACTAATATCTGCACCCACACCTCTGGTTTTTAAGTTGGGTTTAGATTGAGTTATAGATACCGAGGTATAAGTTTTCCCTTTGTTCAGCATGACTTAACACCAGGCTTCATAACTGAATTTAGTAGAATATGGGCCAAGTTGTTTACCTGGGGAGTAACAGACAATTCCTGAAGGCTTTGTTCAGCATGACCTAAATGTTGCATAGGCCTTTATATAACTGAATTTAGTAGAATATAATGGGCCAAGTTGTTTACCTGGGGAATAGCAGACAATTCCAGAAGGTTTGTAGCTAAAGATGGATGCGGGGAAGTAGTCAAAGAGGTTGCTGAGACCTGGAGGGATAGAGTGGTTGTACTCCCCAGAGACAACCACGTAGCAGTCTGCAGCGACGATCTTTGCCTTGGCTGTCTGCAGGATAGTAGGGGCTTCCAATTGGTCTTTGTAGAAGTGAATGGGTTTGGTGAGGATAGGAAGATTCATCTCCTGTGCATCTGTGGAATTTGAATGGTTGATAAAAATGATTGCTAAAAGAATAATAAAATTTTGATGACGAATACCGTTGAAGAATTTGTCTTCAGGATATGTTGGGGACTTCAGGCTGGTCTTTGTAGAAGTGCAAGGGCTGGGTCAGGATTGGAAATTTCAGTTCCTGGGCAGCTATGGAATATGAACTGATATATTGATGATGAAATTAAAGATGAAAACAAAAATTGCAACAAAATAAAAAAACAACACAACAATAGTAATAGTAATAGTAATAATTTCAATTTCCCAACAGACAACATGATACAAGAAAGAAGAACGTACAGGCATCATTCTCACACAAAAAAAGAAAGAGAAAGAAGAATATCTTTAAAGACAATGCAATTCCTAGAGACTGCAGAGCTTAGAATAAAGAGGGTGAAAAGATAACAGAAGGCCAAGGATCTAGCATGTGATGTGAAAAGGATATGGAAGGTAAAGACAAGGGTTATTTCTATAGTCATTGTAGCCTTGGGAACAATATTAACAAGACTATAGAGCTTCATGGCTGATCTTGGAATCAAAATGTCATTTGCATTTGAAACCATTCAGAAAGCGAGTCTGGTTGGGACACTGCATACCTTCTGCCAAAGGTCATGGATTTGAAAGGAAAGGAGTGTAGCAGTTTTCATTTTTGAACCTATTTCTGGACAGTTTGTTTTCATTAATCTATCCTCGTCTTCAATGTTTACATCGCCCGTTTTGTTAATTGCTTCAGCGAAACTGTGTTATTGTTCTGATTAAATTGACTTGCGCCTCCAAGACAAGGTGCACATATTTGACATTCCATCGTCTGACCTATTTGCACTCCAATTGTTGTCGGTACAAGAACATGTTCCTGATTTATTAAGGAAGCTGGTGATATAAACATTGAAGATGAGGATAGATCGATGAAAACAACGAAAATCATTACAAAAACATATTACCAGGTGGTATTCTGAAAACTCTTGTTTCTTAATTGTCCTTGTATCTTCACTTTCGAAAAGTTGGTATTCTGAAAATTTCTTGTATTTTTTTCTCTTAGACCTATATCTTATTTTCTTTACCCACGCTCAATATAACTGTGATTTATAAGAGAAATTCTGAAATTCTTGCACTTTTCTGCTATTGTTTCTTTCATGGTAGCTTATTAATTATTAATTACATACATGCAAAGCGCAACCTCCTGTTTTGGTTGTGTTCCTAATTGGTTGAACAATTCATTTCAAATCTAGAGGTCTACCTTTATTTGGTTATGCTTCAAAAACTTGGCGTGTCAAAGATAAAATAGAGACAGAGCTCTTCCAGAGATAATATTCTGCTAAAACATTATTCAGAATACCAACTTACAAGAATTTTAGCGCTCTTTTTATCTCAGGAGGATACAAAAAAACTTGCACAACAACTTTTCAGAATACCCCTAGCCCCTGGATGAAGTCTGGTTCCTGTTCTATTTATGGCAACTGACCATTAGATTGTATTACAACGAATTGATGATAACAATAATAATAATCATAATCATAATCATTATAATAATAACAAATAATAATCATGTAATAATAATGACAATAATGATGGTGATGATGAGAGAAATAATGGCAATAATAATAACAAGGAGGACTTGAGCCAGACGACTGCTGAGGAGGCCGGAGGACGGGAGGAGAGGGAAAAAAAAACAAAGGGGGTCCGGGGGATCGACCGGATCGAGGGGAGAAGAAAGATAGGAGGACCGGAAAAGGAAGATGAATTTATACATTTTGTCAAATTACAAATTTTTAGCGAGATTTTCAGTCATGTAATGTCAGGAGAGATAGTTACTTACCCAGAAAATCGACCTCATGTCCTCTTGCTTTCAGTTGGTTGATCAAAAAGTTTGCCACTCGAATCCCTATCCTCCCTTCTCTGCATGTTCCCAAGAACAATACAACTTTCAATCCGCTTGCGGTTGCCATGTCGATTTCTTCCTGCTCTGAACAAAAATTGTATCGTTATCGTGGTCCTCGTCTGGCTTTGAAACTCGGGATGCGAAATCAAACCTTGAAATTGAATAGGCTCCTTCACTTCAGCTTGGTAGTAGTGGTAAACACGTACACCTGGCCTAGATTTATAACAGCTAGTGCATGCAGTTGAGCTAGAGATGAGTTCGTGCGTGGCGTTAAGCTGTGTACCAGACCAGTCCAGTGTAACAATTCCAATTCAATTGTGATCGAAACGATAATTGAAACGAACCAAAGCGGGGTGCACGATATGTCAATATGACTAAGCACTTTTCCCGCATGCAAACTGCAAGCGGAGTTGAATGTTGCGCCCTGGGTGGCCTGTAAACATGATAAACACAGTCTGCTGCATGTCTCAATGCATGGATATGGTCGTTAAAGTGGGCGTGGTCAGATGGTCAGCTGGAATATTCCGGTAACATGCCCCTCCCATCCCAACGCTCGGTATCATCAGCCAGTTTATACAAAATTATCATAGGCCTATTATTAAGTCAAGGAACTTTTCATACTGCATTTAATTGGCCTGAGCTAGATGCATGTTTAAGGGCATGTCAAAAAAGCTATACAAAAGACTGGGATACTGCAAATGGAAGGAAACGATCTATGGAGCACTTAGAGAAAGCAAATATATAGAAGAATAGAGAAGAACTGGAGAGTAGAGAGAAAATGGTCCATAAAGAGACAGAAAGAGGAGAGGGGAAAGAGAGAGAGAGAGAGAGAGAGAGAGAGAGAGAGAGAGAGAGAGAGAGAGAGAGAGAGAGAGAGAGAGAGAGAAACGAAAAAGGGTTGATAATTCGTAGACAAGACATATGAGATGAGAGAATTTTAACAAGACAGTCAGAGGAAGGTAGAGAGTGAAGGAGCAAGAGAAATACATGGGGGGGGGGGGTGGTGCATGGTGTCCCCATCATGAGTTTGTGTGTTTGAATGGATGGATTAAACTTTTACAAGATTGTCCTTCATCAAGACTTTTTCTTCAGGTTGGAGGACAACCGCCCGATAATCCCCTCTTAAAACACAACTGTGCACACCATAATTAGTAAAATACACACAAATTAATTATTTTTGTGCCCCTTGTTCAATATTAGGTCCAACATGCACCTGAAAATGTAATCCCCCTCACCAGAGATTTTTGAAAATTATGCCCTTCTCCAACAAAATTCTTGATCAGCCTAAATAAAAAACATCCTAAACTTGATCTCATAAATTAAATTTGCCACTGTACCATTATATTTACTTGATAATGTACGGTTTGGGGCCAGAATGCATCAACAAGAGCGAAATGAAGTGAGTTTTTACCACTCCTTTCAACACTTTCATAATCATTACAACCACATCCCTACCAAGTATATACGCCTTGTCACCAATTTCAGCAGATCCCCCCCCCCCCCCCACACACACAAATAACCTAGATTTGTTGGTTAACTTGTATACTAGTTGAATCACAAGAGTTGGAAACCTAATAAAAGTTTGATAATTCAAAAACTTAAAAGCATTTTAGCCAAACAATGACAAAATAAAAAAAAATGAAAGGGCCTGAAGCTGAATAAGTGAGAACTAAAGACCGAGGGGTCCACGATCATTACAATAGTCCAAATTAGCAACTCTTTGATGTTACACAATGTTGCAATCTTGCACAATGAATTGAAAATACAAGCATTAATTGCTTTTATGAATTGTATATGAAGATTGAAGAGGGATATTATTTCCATACAAATGTACATAGGCCTATAGAGAACACAGTATTCTTGCTTCTCTCATTGGACAGTGTACACATACAGATTCCGAGATGCTGTAGTCCCAGTCATAGAAGTCGTATCAGTGATATTTTACGTCTAAAACCTCTCACTCTTGCAACTTCATTGTGCTGCCAATTTAAGAATATGTATGGTATTACAGAGCTAGAAGAAAAAAGGGTAATTTTTTTCCTTCTAAGTTTGTCCTTTAAAGCCACCATTGGTTTATATTTACATGTATTGATATTCATTTTTTTTTTAAAGACAATGTAAACAACACTATCCTTTCAAACCCATGATTATCCAACAAAAACAAACATGAAAAGCAGTATACATTGTTTTAGTTTTTAATTTTGTATTAACTTCACATCTCTATAAACAACACATACATGTACATGTATCACACTTAATACCTTGTGTGTACACGCAGGGTAAGCATTTGGATACGTCAATGAGGAGTCTCCTTTCAATATGAGAAAGTCAAGTATATTTTCCTGAAGTAATTCAAGGAAATGACACAGATTCTCATGCAAAACATGGACATATCAATAATCTCCTAAACTTCAACTCTCAATGTGATAAAGGTATGGAAAAGGAAGATATTTGTCGATTTGTAGAGTATGTCTGATAATTGCTAAATTAGATGGTCTCTTTCAACTTATTTCAACACATGTGGTCTGAAAAGTTGAAACTTGATTTGCTTTGAGCATACACAGTAAAATAACAAGGCAATTAGATGCATTTTAGAAGAAAAATAATAACTACAATCATTTCAGATATCTATGGATAGAATTGACAGAAGAGAATCACATTCTTTTAGGTTGATCAAAATCAAAGAAATAGAACAATCACCTTTTGAGCAAAGTATTTTTCTAATGAAAATAGGCTTTCATGAAATGTGTACTTTGTTTGTTTTTTTCTTCTCTTTTAGATCAGTATTTATAGTTGGTCACACCACTAACTCCTGAATGAATATACAGATCTTTAACAAACTTTGAAGCAAAACATACTGATAATCTGAGAAAATATCATCTTGCAATACATTATGCTTCATACATGGTGCCGTATGACAAGTTAGAATAAATTCAATCTAATCACTATCGCTTTCGATTTCATCCTTTCGCTTCTTAAGCCTTTTGATTGATTCTTCGTGTCTACGGATTTCACTCTCATGTGCCTCGATTTCGTCATTATGGTGTTTCTTCAGGGCTTTGAGCTGTTCCGCTTGCTTTAAAGAGAGAAAGAAAAAGAAAAAATAATAAATTCTCTCAGACTTGAAGAATATTTTTGTTTATTATTATTATTATTAGTGATTACATCTTACTGCTATCATTTCATCAGAAGGCCTGGGTGTGAAGGAGGGGGGGGGGGGGTGCACATCAAGCTAAAAGCATATGAAACATACTGTTAATATTTTTTATTTTTATTTTCTGGAAATCCATGTGACTCACTTAAAATATTACTGTTGTTTTCTATTGACTGTTTCTTGACTTTCTTTTTGCAGAATAAAAAATAATAAGAATCATTATAGTAATAATAATAATTAATGTTTCAATATATATATATATATATATATAAATAAAAGGAGATGATCCTATCTTATTCAACAAATTTCAGCAAATTATCAATACCATTCCTTAAAAATATGTTGTACAATAGATTTTTTAGAAAAAACTTCAAAATAAGACGTATTTAAGCTATTTGTCTTGCATTCATCAGAATAAAATGCTTGCCAAATAAAAAATATTAAGCATACTGATAATGATAACAATAATAATTACTTTTTTTATATAAACAAAAGGAGATGATCCTATCTTATTCAACAAATTTCAGCAAATTATCAATACCATTCCTTAAAAATTTGTTGTACAATAGATTTTTTAGAAAAAACTTCAAATAAGACGTATTTAAGCTATTTGTCTTGCATTCATCAGAATAAAATGCTTGAATGAAACAAAAAGCTGAAATTATAAAATTCCACAAAATGGCAAATAAACCAACATGATTTTTAAAGAATCATTGCCATTTCCTTCTACTCACCAATGCCCTGAAATATTGTTCCTCGTGTGCGGCTTCCATCTTACCAAAGGCACCTCCTGCATCACGGATAGATCCTCCAGTACCACCTCCCTAATTAGCAAAATAAAAATTAATGAAATAGAACAATCATTCTCAAACAGGATTCAAGGATGAGCATATAAATGTCCAAATATGATGTGGCAGAAACACAATTTTACTTGGATGAAGGGGAAATGCCCCCCAAAAAGTTTTAAAAAAATAAACATACTAAAAACAAATTAAGACATTGTAATCACAACAGATTAAATTTGCCCTAAATTGCATGATTGATTTTACAGGAATGAAACAGTACCGCATTGCGAATTTGCGATTTACAAATAATGAATATAAAACAAACAAATTATTAAACAAGTGCGTATGCTCTTTTGAGAAAGAGGTTAAATGTAACACGGTGCCTGGTCGGAATACCCCTCAGGAAGTGGAGCGTGTGCGCTTTCATGAGTGGATTAGCTATTGTATCCAATGAACAGGGTAATAATAATAATGTAAGGCGCTTGGAAAGTTATTATTCAGCAAAATGTGACCATTATTATTATTATCATAGTGAAATGTTACCTTATTTTATTAAGTATGAAGCCTCATTGACACATGACAAAGTAACCATCTAAACTTACTGTGGCATATCATTCACATGTAACATGTACATAAATAGCAAATACGGTAAAGGCCCCCAAACAATAGCTGCATGCATTAGAAGCCTCTACTCGCTCATCAGTGAGTTAAAAATCCAGACATGTGAAACAAAATGCTTTGGTCATTTAACTTTGTAATGATGGTTTTTAAAGTGTTATAACAAAAATATAACATAAGTGTTGCGTATAGTTGAGGGAAACAGGAGCTTCAAATCCTCTGCAAATTTCACATTTTTCTCTACCTACACGCGACCCTATACTTTAAAATTTGGACAACTAGGAAGTAAAGTACTAGAGACAACACAAATGTAAGAAATTGCTGGATTTGGCACCATGAACGCAATAATTACTATTGAGAATCTTGGCAATTATGTCTTAGAACATCTTTGTCTTATATGATTTGTATTGTATGTCCTGCTTTGGCAGTTATGAGCCATGACCTGGACTATTCTTATTATATGTCTGTGACAGTGTGACTGTGTAAGTCTTTTATGTTTATACTACGTTCCTTTATTGAAGATTGGCAATAAAGTGAAACAAAATCAAATTTAAAAAGTTCATTTGTGAATGAGGTTGATGAGTAGAAATAGAAGCTTAACTTACACTGCCTGCTCCAGATCCATATTCGCCCCCCATCCTGACTTGACTGAAATAGACAAGAAAAGACAAGAAAAGGAAAAGCTCATTAGGCATACGGTTGGACATAAACAAATTAAAAAATCTTACCAAAAAAAACTACAAAAAAGTTAAAGTCTTTAGTGGTCCTCATTTCTTAAAACGGATACTTCTCAAGTTTTTTTTTCTCTTTCAATTGTAGGGAGTCAACCTATGATGATGAACTTTGAGAATAGATCCTATGTATTAACAGAGCATTTCGCAACATGGTCCAACTTGTTCATCCTTAATCTGAATTTCCTGATTTTCCTCATATTCAATAACGATGATTTGTCGGCACTCATGCACGTTAGCACCAGGTGCCTTTTCTGTTAAATGAAATGCTAAGGAAAGACCTAGAGTAGATGCTGCGGTTTGTGGCAGCTCCATTGTTTGCACTGCACCTCTCGTACTTACACTGTTAGAAAAAGGATTGCATTGTCCTGAAAAAACGCCTAAAATCTAACCAAATGAGCTTCAATGTTGACCTTAAACTTGTTATTCTGCATCAGTAAGGTAGGCCCCTATTTGATCATTTGAGTATCTTTTTTTAGAGTAAAGGAGGGGGTAATCGACCAGCTTCAGTTTTCGGCCGATTGGTTGGATGCATGGTAAAATCCCTTTAAAACACATCGCATAATAGCATATCACATATCCCACACATACCATACCATGCCAGAGTCACTGAAGAACCACATTTGCAATGAAATATGTATCCTAAAATATCACATTTTAGCGATGTAATCCGCGGTCCCGCTACCCCAATCTGAAAAATAGAGTATCTTACGCGTGTCTGTAGGAAATATGGGTACCATAAAATGAACTTTATTCCAAGTATTTTTACTTGGATTAAGAGCTCGATTTTGTGCTGGTCCCAAGCTCAAAAGTATCTCACCGCATGTATTAAATCAATGCAGCCGGACACCGCAACGCACACACGATATCTCTGTCTAATTCAGATTCCAAAGTCCGATCACTGCAGTACTAGTAGGGTGTCTGATCGCGCACCCAATGTTGTGTGCTAAAACCCTTCCCATAGAGATTGTACGCTTCCCTATGTGGTCTACGTGCATTGCGCGACCATCCAAAATTGGTCAATGATTTTATGAAAAAATTTGAAATTCAAACTAGGCTTGAGTCGGTACGGTCGATCACACCGGGACCCGACCGTTGCCGTCGGGTCCCGGTTTCGTTTTTTGAGAACCGGCGCTCCGAAAAAAAATAATGAAATATGTAAGAAATTGCAGTTTTGCACACCACTAAAATCAATCCACCCTAAAACTTAAGTATTTAATTGTTACCAATCGTATTCTAGCTCATCCAGAATCAATCCGAACTGCTGATATAAATATGGGTTGCAAAGCAATTCGCCCCATGGGGTTGTTGTTGTTATGTTGCCAGCTGCTAGCTAGCTACTGTACTGGCCGGGTCGCGTTATTTTTTTATGCGGCACAGATTGGGGCATGGCGCGTGTTAAACCTATGGGAAGTACGTTCTTTCCCTTCTGAATAGTGTATGCACGTACGTGAGACTATTCATGTTCGCTAGCGCATTAGCGCTGCGAAGAAGTTTGTATATCCATCGCGAACTACGTGTTTAGATAACATTCTTTTTCGTTTAAGTTAGTTAAGTTTTATTGACTAATTATTGTGATGTTCTCCATTGACGTGCTGCCTCCTCTTCAGATTTCCAATTTGATTTTAATTGTTGATGTAATGATTTTCCATGCGGTAGTGGATTACATGTAACATTATTAAAAACAGACCTCTACTACTTATACTGTCTAGTACGCACACGACCAGTATTAGTTTGTAAATCAAGACCCCTTTAAAAAAAAAGCCCCAATCTGTGCCGCATAAAAAAATAACGCGGCCGGGTCTCTTGGCAGAATTAATAAATCAGGTTGAAAGAAACATTAATGTTTGAATAATAAAACGACTTTCTAAAAAGTACTTCTTTACAACATACCGATCGAATAATTTTTAAAAGACAAAATATATATTTTTTCTTTGATTTTGAACACCGCATGCTTCTTTTAAAAGCTGAAAATGACTTGGTAATCACAAGAAGTTTCGATACGGATAGCTGTTGCAATGCAAGTTCAGACTAGTCTCGGAAAAATGCGCAGTGCTCCTTGTTAGCTATAATGCGTGCCAGAACGAACCCAAACAAAGACGTGATCGTAACGAGAAAAAAAATCATTAAAAACTACGAGAGCACAATTGGAAAGACAACTACTCAAAATTATCGTAAGCAGATACATAACTTGGAGGAAGAATACAATAGTTGTCCAAGAGAAGCCACATAAATAGTGATATTTAATGAGTTACTATAGGTACAATCATTATCGGAAGGGCCTGCTGCAATATATCTAAACGTGTTTAAATTGAACACGAGGCAAATACCGCCCTCTACGGTAAAACGCAGTATAACAAAGGATTCGAGTATTTGCAGCAGGCCCCTTGCGATAAAAATGTACCCAGTTACTCCTCGATTATCACAATTTCTGTGGCATTTCTTGGGCGATTATTGAATCCTTTGTCCAAGTTATGTATCTGATTATGGTAATTTTGAGCAGTATATCTTTCCAATTGTGCTCTCGTAGCTTTTAATGATTTTTTTCTCGTTACGATCACGTCTTTGTTTGGGTTCGTTCTGGCACCCATTACAGATAACGAGGAGCACTGCGCATTTTTCCGAGACTAGTCTGAACTTGCCTTGCAACAGCTATTCGTATCGAAACTTCTTGTGATTACCAAGTAATTTTCAGCTTTTAAAAAAAAGCATGCGATGTTTAAAATAAGAGATAAATATTTATTTTTGTCTTTAAAATATTATATGATCGGTATATTGTACAGAAGAATTTTTTAGAAAGCCGTTTTATTATTCTAACATTAATATTTTTTGACCAGATTTATTCAACCTGCATAAATCAAAATGGCGGCTCGATTGTAGTCTCTATATTTTTGCTCGAGTTTTTTTACTTTTAGAGGCACGATAATGGCACTAAACATCGCCAATCATGGATGAATATAATGTCAAATGGAAGAATATACCAATCTGTGCCGAGGTATGCATGTGTTGATTTATTTGACTGATAAAAATGTCACTTTTAAGGGACATACTGATGATATGCGCTTTTTATAGAGGCAAGTGACAAATCCTGCGAGCTGATTTCGGGACACCGGGTCCCGACCGGTGCAAGGCCGTCGGGACCCGGTTTATGAAAATCCCGACATGACTCAGGCCTAATTCAAACCTTTATAACAAATGATCCTGAAGGTGAAACTCAATAAATGAGGTGTCATATGAAAGAGCAGGTTTTTCTCCATATTCCCCATAGGGGGCCACCCCCAGAATTCTAAAAATATCTTGGTCAAAACAGCGATTGAAATGTTGTTTGCATCCTAGCTCCAAAATTTGCCACTTTCCTGAGCTGCGCCCCCGCGGCTTAAGCAGGGCTAGACGTATGGATAATATCCAGATGCTTTTTTTTTCGCTAGCCCCAAGGGATCATTTGTTATAACAGTTTGAAAATACCCTTCCCACATTTTTGGAATCAGCTAATTAGGGAGGCGTGAGCTCCGCTCAGTCCAAACCATGGTTACATCGTAACATGTGCGCTTATAGTGAATGAAAGTATGGGTGGCCGATTCTCGCCATAGAACCCGGAAGTGAATACACGTTGTAGTCAATGGCAATCTCCGCGATATTGCCATTGACTACAACGTGTATTCACTTCCGGGTTCTATAGCGGGAACGGCCACCCATACTAGTCAATGGCACATATCGCGGAGACAGCGTGGCTCAAGCTTGCAAGTCGCGCATTGGCTGAGCAACTTGCGTACGATATGCATACGCTTGCATATCGCGCGATACAGCTGTTTGGCTAAATTTAGCAAAACAACATAACTCTGCGTGTACGTCTTTTTCGTCGATTCTGAGCAAAATGCTATGAATATTTCAGCATTTTGAAGGGGCTGTATCTTTTGATAGAAACATCGGCGAGACTTGAAATTTGAAATGTATTATTCTGATTACATTTTTAATTCAAATATCAAACAAAAATGGTGAAAAACGATCCCAAATTGAAAATTGAAAAATCGTTCAGACACCCTAGTACTAGTTTTCGGCCTATTTTACTTTATTCTCTAGAGCATTTTTTCTGTTCTGGAAGTGAGACTTAAATTGGGCAGAACCTTAAGTATTACCAAGTTACTCATTTACAGACATGACAGATCTATGAAATGGATCCGCAGCTACGCCTACGAGCCCCTGCTCATTTAGATAATCAGAGTGATTATTTTCAAAATGGGGTTTCATTTACTGGTCTGGCACATGACACGACACGGATTTCAACACATGGGACAATAATGAAAACAAAATTGTAGCTTCTTCTTTATGACGACACTCTCTCATTAAACATCGCACACCCATTCGTTAACTTGCCATTAATTAACTTTCAAATTGCGAATACTTCAAATACAAACCTCACTGCTAACACTGGTCGCCAAGCTTTCAGGAAAGATATACGAGCTAAAGCCATATTAAGGAAATTTACTGATATTTACTAGAGAAACACTGTCCAGAAAGTTCTCCAAGGCACCGCTATCACTTCTCCTCTTCAACCGAGAGATGGCGCTAAACGGAGGACATACTGTGTATGATCGAATCTCTTTGAATATACTCATATACAGCCTAGCCATAGATGATTTCTCGGAAATCTCTGCGATCTTAAATTATCTTCAATACACCTTTGTTTATTCTCATATTCATAATCGTTTGGAATACCTCAAATCCATCTTTATCCTTATCACTTCCACCAATCATCTCAAATTCTCATCACTTCCACCAAACATCTCAATTGTCATCAACATTAATTAACCCTAGATCCTCCCCAGAGCTCCTAGCTTCCCTCAATCCTCCTCACCCTTCTCCTCTTCATCATTGATCACTGCCACAGTGCCACTCATCTTTATTTACATGACCGCCATCATCTTCATAATCTAAAACATCACCATGAATCTCTTTTATCCTAATCCTCCTTCCATCCTCCTCGACTCTCCCCTCCTTCTCCTCTTCATCATTGTGCATTGATCACCACCAAAAATCTTTACAACTTGTTATCATCACCATTGCTCAGATCTTTATCCTCTTCGATCCTCCCCTCCCTTCCCTTCTTCTCCTCTTCATCATTATGTATTGATCACCACCACTTATCTTTATCTACATGCCATCATCATCATCTCCACAATCTTTAACATCACAATGTATTATCTTTATTCTCCTCCTTCGGCCATCCTCCCACTCCCTTTCTTCTCCTCTTCATCATTCGGCATTGATCACCACCAACTTTATCTCCATGACCATGCACCATCATCTCCATAATCTTTCTTAAACATCAACATCACTCTTCTTTACCCTCCTCCAGTGACCTCCCCCTCCATCTTCTCTTCATGCGTGATCACCGTCACTCATCTTTATTTAAATGACCGGCATCATCTCCACAATCTTTAACATCACCATTGCCAGATCTTTATCCTTCTCCGATCCTCCCCTCCCTTTCCTTCTTCACCACCACTTATCTTTATCTACCATCATCTCCACAATTTTTAACATCATCATTTATCATCTTTGTCCTCCTCCGACCATCCTCCCCTCCCTCTCCTCTTGATCACCTCCAATCATCTTTATCTACATAACCATCATCATCTCCATAATCTTTATAACAGTGCCACCAATCATCATCATCATCATCACCATCATTCAAATCATCTTCACCATCATCTTGACTTATCAATCATCTCTATCAGTCATGTTTATCCTACTCCTCAACATCATAACCACCAAAAAGAATCTTTATCACCATCTTCATCAATAATATCATCCTCATCCTCATCACCACCAATCATCATCTTTATTCTCACCATCACCATCAATCATTGTTACCCTTCTCATCACCACCACCAATTATTGTCATCTTTTTCAGTCAAGAGTTATGCTTGTAACTACTTAAAATGTCAACTATAGGTATATCATTCAATTATAAATACCTGAAAGCCAACAAAAGAATGGCGGTGTATATATAATATATATATATACATATAAAGAAATAACCAGAAAATATACAGTTTCATATCATTATCCACAATTTATTACATATATACTACATATCTGATATAAATACTACACTTTGTACAAAACTTTTCCATGGAATTATTGGCAATGCAGGTCACTATATATTTACAGTCGATAACAAAAACACAATACATGCTATATCCCATTAATTATTATCTGCCTTAAAACAAATATTCGCCTGGCATGACTGAAAGGCACTCTACTATTTCTTGTCAGTGTTGAATTCACTGTCAAATTATCTGAAAGATCAGTTCTGCGGGGCGTTTCACAAAGCTTTTTTTCAATGACAAATGACAAAAATCAATGACAAATTAGCTGATAACCAATCAGAAACAAGGATTTCAGTAGCTTATAAGAAAAAACGTCATTTGTCACTGATGACAAGTTTTGTGAAACGCCCCCCAGTTGTAGCTATACTTTAAGCATGCATCTTGGTAGAGCATGACTGGGTTTAACAGACTTCAAACAAAAGATTATCAAAATGTCTTTCAGGCAAGCCGTATTATTTTACTGCAACTTATACGAAACAGAACTGTATAAAAACATCAAATGATAACAAAATGCTAGCACAAGTAAAAGTAAAGTGTAACTCAACTTTGATGTTATTTTTTTATGTAGCACTTTTCAGCACCTCTCCCGAATCCCAATGTAAACAATATATGTTTCAACTTTAAAATTCACATGTGCTGAAATATATAAAAATAAGGCTATTTACATTCAAAGTATTTCATCATTTTGAACATTTCATTGAGTCTTTTGTAACTATATACTTATGATATACAATAATACACTCTGTTTGTATATCTCCTTTAGTGTTTCTTCAAAGAAAATATATGAAATGTATCTATATACATCAGGTGGATATATCAGGGACAAAAAAATCTAAGAAATCAAATGGAAAGGAATGTATTCTTTAAATTCTTTCTCAGCACACATTTTTCAATTTCCACCTGAATTTATACTTAAGCATTTTACTACACCCGAAGTAGCTTACAAATTAAGCCATGATCTTTGTCAACCATGACATTTTTTTTCTGACGGAACAACCAGTGATATTGCAGGAGTATAATTTTATTTTATTTAAAAGATTGCCAACTCTAATGCCTCATTGTGATAAGAAAAGAAAACATGAAATAATTTGATCAAGAATAAAGACATCTTGTTCTCCACAGCTAAAGCAGTCCATAACAGAATGAAATCAATGAATTCATTTTGAACCTTGGGGAATAAAAGCCATTATTGTTTGATCAACTATTTTTGTATTTTATGTATTTGATCATAATTAGACTTAACAAGTTTGTGAGAAAAAAAATAATTATAGAAGATAAGCTATATAGACTAATTTTATAGGAGATCATTGTATACTAGGTCGTTATGGGGCTACATAATAAAAACAAATGCCAGAGCAAAACATTGCATCCTTAATTAAAATGATTTTGAAATTCATTTTCAATACAATCGTGAGAAGTTGTAGAAAAATAATTACAATCCCATTACCGGTAATTAATACACAAGAGAAAAGATTGGTAAAAACCTTTTAAAAATTCTTCCTAAATCTGATGCAACTTCCTATCAGCATATTGTCAGCTCAGAATCAGGACTCCTCACAATGAGCTCTCTTTTCTGGCTCTAAACATTCAAGATCGTTTGTCCCTTTTGCAGACCTAGACCTAAAAAATGCATGATTTCCAAGAATCCAGTGGTTTATTAAACAGGTATAATATTAGGAATTTCCCACCAATTACAAAATCAAAAGAAAATGGCTTTCAACAAATAAATTTTTAATGTTTAATTCCAGATATTTATTTTCTAGACTTGAAAACTTGACCGTTATATCCGTTGATTTGAGAATAGCTCCCTCTGGGTCAATATAAGAACAGCACTAGATTTTTCATTTCTTACAAAGTTTCAGAAGTTATTACAGTAAAATTTCATACACGATGTCTGAAGGATATATTTTAAACACTCGCACAAGTCTGCAAAAGGGACTTACTGCCTTTAATGTCATTACTACTTTCTTATCATCTTTCTTCTGCATCTACAGACTGCTCCTCTGTGCTGTCTATTCTGATCTCTTTGCTTATTTGATCATCAAAAACTCTGCTCTTTGAACATTAAGTTTTAACCCTGTGGTGTTTGTTCAGATTATTTGTGACTGCCTATTAAAGAACACATGTATAACAAGAACTTGTATCTAACTTGTATATGCCGTTCACATTTGTTCTTCTAAACCAACATGGGTCATGTGTGTTTTAAAATGTATATGAGGTCCTTTTCAGTCTCTCCCTGGTATAAAGAGTATGTATTTCAGAAGACCGCATCGGAATACACATTTGAGAAAATAGAGAAAATAGTAGTACTACATCAATAATACATGTTCAGTAATGTGAATTTCATTATTAATTATACAAATCAAGCAATTTTGAAGTAAGATATATCTTTTTGGTACCATTTAAAGCAAAAATAGCAGTACTGTATAACTTGAAGTACATCCTTGAAGTACTGTATAACTTGAAGTACGAGTATGAAGAGCTGGACATATTAATGCTTCAGGAAAGACAATAATATGTGGATGAAACATAGATTGGCTTTCAACTAAGCCATGACAAGTTTGTCATGTGTTTGTACAACTCTCACTACAATACATGAAATAATTGTATGATATAATTGTATCATTTGAAAAATGAACAAGAAAGAGTGCTACAGCACAGTTACATGCATACATGTATCACATCCAAAAAGAAGGGGGGGGGGGGGGTTTCAAGGAACATTTCATGGTACAGCTTTAATCTGAACATATTTTCCACTGTAGGCTGTCTTAAAAAAGTTTATACCTGATCATGAAAACAGAATTTCGGGATTCTGAGCAATACAATGTATGTTTATCCCAATTATCGGGTCTCTTTATCAGCTGAAAAGCTATTCACTTCCAACAATGAACACCAACATAAAAAGATGATACATGTCTTACTTAAGAAATCTACACATACATATAGTTATCAAAATGTACAAAGTGGTTTATTATACATCGGATCGATAGTGGATTTCATAGAAAATATACACTTAAGATATTTATACAATGGTTCATAATTCCCATGAATCAAAATAAATCAAGTAAAACATATGCTGAAAATAAAGATCACAACTATGAATACAAGAACACTGTAGGTTATAAGTGTGCAGTGTGAGGATAAATTCTATAATGAAAACTCTGGGAATGGGGATTTCCCATTCCTTTGAATACATGGAAGGTGGGTGTAGTAAGGTATATACAAATGGATGGATGAGAAAGGATTGGTGGGATGACTGTGAATCTATAATAGTAATACAAGTAAGCAAACAGTAAACGTATGGAATGTATAAATGTAACAAAAACTGGTGGAAAATGGCAGCTGAAACTGAAGGAATCGAGTGCGATGAATGTGGTGGGGATTCGTAAAGGAAGAGGAAGGAATGAAGACATTATCGTTAAGTTCACGAGAAAGTTAAAATCTGTCATAGTCTGCCCTGTATATCTCATAGAAAGAGTCTTGTAAAAATTATCGTTTGTTTCAGAACGAGTCCATATTAAGCGCCCACTTGTCCTTCTCTTGGCTCAGCGTCTACGGCATTGTCAACATCCTTCTGAGGCAGGGATGCTTCGTTGTCTTTGGAATCTGCAGAATCAATAGCCTGTTCATCCCTATTTGGAAGTGGACTGTCCTGATTAACAGGCGATTGGGATGGTTCAGTATCACCCTTAGGGGAGGTAGGTTTATTGGGTTCTGAGGGGGGTGGTTTGGGGCTTGCAGTGGCACCTTGGGCAACATCGCTTTCTGGAGGAGCATGTGTGCTTTCAGGTCTGGAGCTAGTGTCTTTGATTGGGGACTGGGCTGGTCCAGTGCTGGCAGTGGGTGTGGGATTACGTTCAGAGGCAGGTGGGTGGGGAGTCGGTGCTGAATCAACGATCTGATCACCCCCACTTTCAGGTGGAGCATCCCCACTGACTGGTCTTGGGCTAGCATTCTGAATAGGTGACTGGGCTTGTGCATTGCTGGCTGCAGGGGATGGTGGCGCGTTTTGCTCCGAGGGTTGAGGATGAGGAGTTGACGTGGCTTCGACATTTTGACCACCCCCACTGACTGGTCTTGGGCTAACATTTTGAACTGGTGATTGAGCTGGTCCATTTTCGACATCGAAGGAGAGTGCCGCATTCTGCTCTGAGTCTGCAGGTGGAGGATGAGGAGTTACCGTGGCTTCTACAACTTGACCACCCCTGCTGGGAGGTTGACCATCCCCACTGACCGGTCTTGGGGTACTGTTCTCAACAGGTGACTGGGCTTGGCCATTTGGCACCGCAGGGGAGGGTGCCGCATTCTGCTCTGAGGGTGGAGGATGAGGAGTTAAAGTGGCTTCTACATTTTGACCACCCCCACTGACTGGTCTTGGGGTATCGTTCTCAACAGGTAGCTGGACTTGTCCATTTTGCACAGCGGGGGAGGGTGGAGCTTGGGGACTCGGAGCCGAATCCACCACTTCTATGCTCTGACTCTGAGGTCGACTTTCTACATCATTGCTTATGATCTCCTTCGGGGTCACACTTCTTCTGTTGCTTGCCGCAGGAGAAGGTGGCACGCTACGTTTCGTGGCAGGTGGGTGAGGACTTATTCTCGACTGACCCTCCCTACTCCGAGATGAACTCTTCCGACTCAACACGATATTGTTATTGTTCTGAAAGGGAGTTTCGACTCTTCCATTAGACTTGGTGGGGGACGGCGGAGGTAAACTCTCTGGCTTGACAGAAGGTGCAGGGCTCCCTGCAGTTTCAATGACTTGCTCATCCCTATTCTCTGGTGGAATATCCCTGTTCTCTGCACTGTTGTTGTTGTTTTCATTGGGTGATTGGGCTCTAGCGGGAGGGGAGACTGGGTTGTCATCATGCTGCAAAGTAGAAAAGAAGAAGAACATTTTATTAAATAACAGTCCATTCATATTTTTCATATTATTTGTGCTGTACAACAATCACCATTACAGCATGTTGTAGCCTTTATCTTGCATTGTTAATATAAGTAGTACAGGAGATATCTAAAAGGAATTTCGTCAAATTAACTAAATCAAACTGAAATTATATATTTTGTTTTTCCATACCGGCACTTATTTCATCTTCAGTCATACAAAAAGGGTAGTCTATTTGGCGGGATATAAAGACAGACATTTTATAGCACGCAAATCAATAAAATCTTAACAAAAATCTTCCTTTTCTATTCAAACAAATACAGTTTATGAAACATTATACTATGCACATCATTTAAGCAATAAAATAAAAATGTGACATAAAATTAAAGAAAAATGATTTATGACACATTAAACATTATTGGATGTGCAACAACAATTTTTTTAGCAGTGTATAACATGGAATGATGAATTAGTATGAATAATGGAATGCATTATACTCATATGGACAAAATATGATTTAGTTCATGTTAACATCAATTAATTAAAGTCATGAAACACAAGTAACAAGGTAGTTAGAAATGCATCACAGATTCAAAAGAAAAAAAGAGAAGTTTTGATTAAGCAGATAAGATCCTGAATGAAGTCATGCAGATCTTGCAAAGTAAATGTATGTTATATAGAACAGCAACTTAGAGAAAATAAACAAATAAAAAACAATTTGCATTCACAGCATTGATATTATTTGAAAAAAGAGTGGAATGCAAATCTGAATAACAATCAACGTTCATTAGATGATCCCAAACTGCTTACAGGGGCCTGTTTCATGAAACTTATTATCAATAACAAGTTACAAGCTACTGTTATAAGCTACTGAAATCATGGCATCTGATTGGCTGAGAGCAAATTTGTCATAGAAATTTAGCAGTTGTTATAGATAATGAGTTTTATGAAACGGTCCCCTAGAAGGAGAGAAGTCATGGGAAGATTTGTGACAAATGCATCTCAAAATTGTGACATTTTGCATTCATCATGAGAGATCAATGTCCAAATTGCTACAACTGGATAAATAAATCAGATTCTTTTCAGAGATTCTAGACTTGATAATTGTTTCCAAGTTATAGATTGCAGGTAACTATTATAAGACATAGTATGCAAGGTTTATAGTAAATCCACTGCAATATTCCAAAATTTAGTCCACAAATGCAGGACTATATACTGGGGTCCTCCCCCTTATAAGATACTGAGATTCAACATACTCCAGTACTAAGCTGGGAAGGTCTTTGCCTCGTTCTCACGCGGAGAATCCACCTTTTGCAGCGTTGGACCATGTTGACTGACATGGGGAAAGCCTTCACAGAAAAGAATAGGTTCCATAGAGATAGAATGCAGTTAGGACAAGAGACACTCAGATATACACATGAAATATAAGTCAATTGAAAAGGAAATCTCAGCATGAACACAGACTTTAAAACCAAAACTCCATAAAGAGTAATAATGTATGAACAATAATCATACATGTATTGGCACACAAAAATTTGTCATATAAAGCAATGGGTTAGAGAAAGTAACAACAATTTTTCAAAAATTAAGAATTTCTATAAATCTGACTGCTCAAATACATATTCTTGGAATTCAATTTTCTGGTTATCCATTTGGATTTTAACTTATTTTGGCAAAAATGCATTATATTCCCTGGTGATTTTAATTACGATCAAACAATCAAAATATGTTATTGACTTTAACATTGTTTTGAACCAAGGGTCAAAACCCTATCCATTGAGCAATCATGTCTTTTCAATAAATAATTTTTGAATGTTCTTATGATTACACCACATTTTACAAGCAGAGCTGCATAAGAATTGATGATTTTGACAAATGGTTGATACTGCCGTCAAAGGAACATTAGAGGGTTAAATATACAGTGCGTCCCAGAAAAAAAGAAACCGAGAATTATCAATGTTTTATCATACCGTCCACCAAATGTCTTTTTGGTACCCTTTCTTCAAATTGATTCTAATCACTCATGCATGAAATATGCCTCATATGAGTTGCACCAGATGAAAGAGGAGGATCTAAGCTTTACACATATGTATCATTTATTAATTATAATCGTGATTAAGTTATGATAAAAATTGATAATTCTCGGTTTTGTTTTTTCTGGGACGCACTGTATAAGGGGGTTAAAAACAACCATCCACCACACGGCAAACCATGCAACAAACAAACGTACAACCAATCCAAACCTGTTAGGAGTGAGTCAAAAGAAATAAAATGTAAGCGTGCTGTGGCGTCATCATACCGTATTCTCACCTAGGTCATCAGTCAAGAAAGCATTAGGCTGCTCGAATGGAAACGATCACCGTGAAAGAAGGAAAAGGTTGGTTTTATGTCAAAAGCCCATGAGAGGAAAAAAAAGATGGAAGGTAACAGAAATTTGAATGAAATCATATCACCTGAGAGTGCAAGTGGATATTGTTAACTCATATCGACATAACTCTTTTTTAACTTTTTTTTTTATAGAAGGCAAATGTTTGCTGTCTTAACATGATATAGAGCAGGAAAAAAAAGGCTCTTAAAGACTTCGTATGCAGCTGAAGTGAAAGAATAGCTGCACATTGCAAGAGTGCAAGTGGATTCTATTAACGCATATATAGACATAACTCTTTTTGAATTGTGTTTTCATAGAAGGCAAATGTTTGCTGTCTTTACATGATACAGCAGGAAGAAGAAAAAAAATGGGGGGGGGAGACAATAGGCTAGCTGCACATTACCAAATTAAATTAAATTGAAATCATGCTTCGATAGATGATGCAATTCATAGTTTCTGCTTATTCTCTGCAGTGAAAATAATATCCAATGCGCATCTTTTCATGCTATTCATGAAAAAATTGTTACAATTCAGTATAAATATTTAAATAAAATGGTACATGCATGCAATGATACATGAAGGAACAGAAAAGAATGTATTGAAAGAGCTTTAACTTGAAATGCTTTCCAATGCTTTACATGGACCATTAAATATGTTGCTGTTATGTTATCAATCCATGTTGGGATCTGATTCATGAATGCTTGTTCCATGCATGTTAGTGCAAATGAGGACCACATAATGGGATGATTAAAGACCAAATTGATTGAGTACCTTCGCTGGGTGCAAGAAGGGGACCGCAAGGGGGGTTCTGTTGCACCCCTAGAGCTTTGTTACCTAGCAGGATGGTTACAAAGGAACTGTTATTACTATATTACCACAGCAACTAGTTGGTTAAAATCGCTAAATAGGTGGAGAGGGAAACCTACGTGACTTACTTTATAGAGGATAGGTGTTTGCTCAGATGTTCACGTAAATTATAATATTTTTTAATTTCTATCTTTACTATTCACTTTTACTTTGAATTGAATATTCATGGGAGTATTTCAATGGATAACAATATAACTTTATCCAAAAGGTGAATATAAGCCATCTCATTTAGTTTCTTTCGCATGTACAGTAATCTTATCTGATGTTTTGCACTCTGAAAGGATTTGAAAAAGAAAAGAAAATAAGATGACCTAAAGACCCGTAACACAACATTAATCCATGCCTTTACCTAGTCCTACATGTTACCATTACACTTCATTCAAAGAGAAGAATGGAAAGTCTTTCCAATCCAGAATTGAGATTTTTTTTTTAATGATAGAAAAAGAGGATCAATTCAAAGATTGAAAGGCATACAGAATCAATTTCTGTTGTTACTGGGTTATTCTGTTTTGAGTGACAAATAAAAATAGGGAACAGTTTCATGATGGGGAAATCAGTGGCAAAAGGATGGTGACGGGTTATGAAGATGCCTTTAAAAAAAGGTTTCCAAAGCACCAACCTGGTCCTCCTCGTTCTTCTCTTCCTTGGCTCCTCCTCCTGCTTTCTCCTCCTGTGCTCCAGCACCTACATCATCACCGACACCAACATCACCACCCTCATCATCATCACCACCATTGACCACCACATTATCATCCTCATCCACAGTGGGTGGGGCATCGTCAGGGATAGCTTCCGGTACCTCATCGTCTTCCAGCATCCTCCCGACGAGGTCCACGGACTCCTTGGGTGGCTCTGGCTTATCATCCTCATTATCCCCCAGATCTAGGAAGGACAGAAAAAGGGGTAATATTACTCAAGTGACGAGGGCGGGAATACATGGAGAAAAAAAATCATCTACAGGTGACTTAACTGATTTTTTGTAATTTTTTCATGAAATAAGGTTGTTTAGTTAGTTCAATTATCCAATTAGCTAATTATTAAAGTTTCTGCATAGAATTACAAAATAGCTAATCTGTGCATGAAATTTGAATATGAGAAAAATTTACTATATCTTCACTGGTAAGCTAAAGAGAATACACGAGTCAAAGAGAGCCAGGCAAGAACTTTAATACAAGTAGCTGCCCCACACAACCTCAAGATAAACAAGTGACCTGTGCTCCTCTAAAATTCTATTATTCCTTTGTTACTCATGTTTCCACTTGAGTATGGTTTATATCAAAATAATAATAATATTCTGCTTTTATGTAGTGCCCGATACATCGATGTGTCTATTAAAGCGCTTTACAGATACATTATTACCCCGGTCATCGGATTCAGGCTTACCCGCACACAATGTATGCACATTCTCCACTCCCTGAGGAGCATTCCGGCCAGTCTCCATTTTACAGGTAAATTGCATAAAATTGCATAACATAAGACTTAATAAGAATTAATATTTACCAAGGTCTTCTTCTTCCTCCACTTCCTCAGCAGCCACCTGGTCGATGGGAAGGTCGATGGCGGTCTCAACGGTATCTTGGACCTCAGCTGCTCCCTTGGTCTCGTTCCTTTCTTCCTTGGCCTTGAAGACACCTTCTGGATCTACAGGAGAAAGAGAGAGAGGGAGAGTGTTAAGTGTAAGGTGTACTCAGGAGACTTCATGATCAAGGATGTTAAAGTCAACTTTGAATCGTCTGAATGTAAGAAATTGTCTCAAACACCCCTTCTGCATCTTTAGCAATTAGGGTGTCAAGTGTATGGTTTATATTAAGGTGTATTATGAATTGTCATGAAACAGGGTGTCAAGAAATCAAGACATTCAGACATGAACATCCCGCTGCGGCACTTATGTCCTTTGGCAAGACATTAATCTACATGTTGTGGTACATGCACAACATAACTTATTATAGGCTCTGTATAAGCTTGGCTTGTTAGAACTCTTGTGAGTAATGCGCCACAGGATTCCATATCCTCAAACTGCCGGCGAGCAGAGCAATAAGACCAAGCTCTGTAATTATTAGGATCTCTGTCTAGTAGTGCCGTGTTTTTGCCATCGAACTGGATCGACCAAATCAATTGATTCATAATATATATATATATATATATATATATATATATATATATAATATTTTTTCACGTAACATGAGAGTAAATTTAATAGTTTCATACTTTTAATTAAATGTAATGTTAATTGTTATTGTATAATTGGTTTAAATGGGGGCATGCTACAAGAGTCCTATCTCGCACCCTGAGGCAACGTGTCTGACACGGCCGTTTGTAGCAACTACTCCTTAGATCAAGATACATTAATCTTGATCTAAGGAGACACGAACGAACAAAATCTATTCTCGACCCAGGTGATCAAGGTAAATGGGTACCTGGCAGGAATAAATTCCTTGAAATGCTAGAGCGCCGTAATGGCAGCCATGCTAAAACTGGGGTATTAATTTCCAAAGCTCTTGGAAGTGCCACATAGAGATGTTATAATGTGACATGCGCTATACAAGAACCAATTATTTATTTTGTTATTATTACAGCTAGGCAACAGCAGCGGTTTGATCAGACTTTTATGTACAAAATATAGAAACAGTATTAATAATCCAGGCACTTTTAATCTCATGATTTACTATTGATCATATTCTCATTATACGCATGGATGATTGGACCCATCAGCTAATAGCAATTAGTCTGAAAGCCTACATGCTCCAAGGCAATGAGCAATGAAAATATCATAGTGCTTAGTGTGTTGTCTCTCAGTCAATTGCATACTGTCAAACCATTCAGAGTGACTGACTGGATTAAAAGCATGTTAAACAAATACAAGTATCCAAGGCCAATGGGCGATGATTAGGGAATGGTGTCTACTGGTATGTGTCTAACATTATTAGGCATACATACAACTATTTGAATTGATAACATGGATATGGTACATTTAATAGACAAAGGTAAAAGGGCTTGCTTCCAACTCCCAGGCGACGTTTCATGACACTGTCACAAGCACAAGTCTGCCGACATGTGTACTTACAAGTATGACGGTTTCATGAAACAAATTACAATGCCCTGTATCCTTAAATTTGACTAATAATAACACTGTTCTTTCAGGGAGTGACCAAGACCAAGAGAACAGAAATACAGTGTTGAAGGAGGAAATTATTCATCACTAAAAGAATAGAGAGAAAGACCCCCGAAACAACTACCTGACATGCACAGGGCTACACTGTATATCTACACATACATGTACATGAACCTACAAAATATATTTAGAACAAATACAGACTACCGGTAATTACAAATATTTACCTTACTTGTAATTGAATTATAAAAATATTATACATAATATCTTCATTATCAATTTACGTATTCATAAATTGGATGACAGTTCACCCAATAAATTGTAAACTACAACTACTACTATTACAATAAATTGCAACTTGACAAGTATGTTAACTAAAGCTCGCAAGGGACAGAAACACACATTGACATTGCTCAATCTAAATGAATCGATCATATGACAAGAGTTCCTGCAAAATACGGAGAGCTGACGTTGTTTACAAATCCAAACAAGAAAGCTTAGCATTGCGGTCATGGAGAATATCATTTGCATAACATTTAAACATTATCACGATCAAAGAGCGTAGAAAAGTGCTTCTCCATTTACGTAAGAAAGATCTTGGCAAATGCAAATTTAAATGTATCTGACACTAATTATGCGAGACATTTCCATAACATTGTCTTGCACACAATGAGAGAAAATAGGCAGTCATGTGACATTATTCAACCAATCACATTGCAGCTTGTACACTTGAACCAGAAAGCACAACGTAAGCAACTGACCGTACTCGTAGTTGGATAGATAATGCTGAAGTGCCATCTCTAACTATAATGCCTCCTCCTTCATATATTGTAGTCACAAATTTATAATTCACACACAGGGAGAAAGAAAATCCTCCAACTCCCAATCCTTCTGGTCTATGCTCTATCTTAAAAGCATCACTGCCACAAACTTTTCCAGTCATTACATTTTTAATCGAAAGCGAGGGACTGAATGGATATCTTATGTTCTTTCTATGACCAATGTATAAGAGAGACACTTTTAATATATATGGTTTTTCAGGACCAAAACACAAACAAATTATTGTGCCTTGAGTGCAATTATCATCTGCCTAGCATAATTGAGAAACAATGGAAAACAAATGATGTCATGAAACCAAGTGCATTTCAATCATCGTTATTTTCACAAGGCCAAGTTAGATTGAACTCATAATTGGGTAAACATCATTCAAATGAAAAATTTGAGATTAAAAAATATTAGAATAGCTGTTTTATTACCAGTAATTTCTATTGGAGTAAATGCCTAATCATTTTGATTGAGTGTGCGCAACTGGGCGACGGGTAAATGTCAGCGAGGAGAAAATTAATAAGGAACGGGGGCGATTAATGTCACGGCAACAACACCCCAACCAATAATCAGGAAGGGTGAATGGAACTTTATCAATTATATCTATTGACGTGACAAATGGTACCGACTACAAAGCAGCAATAAGCACATGTATGCTGAGATAGGCAAGGTCATTCACATTAGGCATAATAGGCCACTATTCAGCTACAGTTTACACATATTACATTTCTGTAAACAAATGATCTACATAGCAACAAGGATGTAGGGAGACTACATCCTAGCATCAGAGATGCAAATATATTAAACAGAGCAGCTAGGGAATATAATTCTAGATGTCAGCACTGACCTTGCTATGAATGATTTGATAGCAGTCATTCAAATAACAATGCAAAATAGATTGCTGAACTTACCTGTAACTGAAGGGGATTTAACTTTATAGTAAATGAAATAAAACAAATAAAGACTGATTTTTATCAATGTTAAAAAGAGAGAGGATCAGCAATGTCTCATTTTGTGTCTGTATTCAGTTCATCATTCCTCTCCTACACACCAGTCACAACGACATGACCGATACAAGACTTACAAAATAACTAATGAAGATTACATTACCATGAATTGCCACAAAGTTGTTTACTTGTTGGTATGGAGTCAGTATAGCAGTGTGACTGCGGTTTTCTAATGTTGGCAGAACTTTACCAACTGAATACTATTGATACGTATACTACATGCAGGCTACATTGCACCACAAAGATGGTTTTAGATGTCACAATGGCTCTTTGTCCCACTGATTTGATCTTGTGTTGGTACGATATCACATAACACAGCACTCTCTCAAGTTGCTTGCCCATTAAATCCTGAACAAGCTCAAGCTTAGATACACATACTGTAGTCAGGAGTTTGATTTTCCAGGTCTCAAATAGCTGGAGCTCAGCAAAGCCCGAATTGATAGAGGAATCAGCTTGAGTTTTAGAGCATTTACGATCCAAATGTGTCTTCACCAGTGAATTAGTCCGCTAATTGGCTTTGACAGCAGACTACTTCACAAAAAATTCTTGTTCGCTTGGGTTAACAGCTCAAACTAATATCACAACAGTGTAAAAGCCTGATATTCGCATCTTCAATGACATCTAAACTGAGTTATATGTGATCGGGTAAATGCCTCTGGAGCGGAATGACAGGTCTATGTTAAAAATTTGGCTAATAAAGGTGGGCCTTATTAGGAGTTCGTTTAAATAAAACAAAGATGGAATCTAACTTACCATCGCTGTAATCCAAGGCATTCTCCTTCTGTTGTTGATCCCTCTCTCGGCTCCTCTTCACCATGGTGGGTTTGTGATGGAACACCTCCTCAGCCTCCTTCTGCTCTGGGCTCTTCTCCTTCTTGATCTTCGGTGGGGTCGGCTGTGATGACTTTGATGGCTTAGATGGTTTGGATGGTTTTGAGGGCTTGGATTTTTTCTGCTCCTGTCAAAAGGAAAGATAACAGAGAATCGATACAGGAATGTCTACCAGTATGTCGGATATATCGACATCTCTACTCTATGCTATGGTTGCATGGCACTGTTCAGCCCTTTTCAGGGGAAAACAGTTACGTCATTACTTTCAATTTTATTCAATTCAATTCAATTCAAATATACATTTATTTTCTTCCATTCAATTTGATAACATATTTGACATTTGTTCAAACAATACAATCATACTATGTGAGCACTTTTGTAAAATCCATTTCAAAGAGCATTAAACTTGGCTTTGACTGCAAGACTATAGAAGTAAACAGAAATAAAATGGGAAAGAACAATTTATAACGCACTAATTTTATACCAACATTCTTATATATGTTGAGCTCATGTGCATGATCTGTACAACTGGATGATGCCAATAACCATCTGGACTCACCGTTTGAGCGGGTTTTGATTCTTTCGATTCTCGTGATTCTTGTGATTCTTTTGATTCCTTGGATGCTTTTGATGCTTTGGAGTCTTTGGACAATCTTGTTATCCTTCTTCTGACTAGGGCAGGCCTATGGACGGGAAATAATAATGAAATAATATACACTGTCTTGAGAGGTTCTGGTTAAACCTACTGGCAAGAGGAGACTCCAATACTATATTACTATTGGAGTCCCAGAGGCCCTTAGTTTTAACCAGTACCTCGAAAAGAAGGCATGATATATTATATAATGTATCCCCCAAAAAAGTTCATTGCTTCAACTACCGTAAATGACACTTTAAACACTTTTGTTGAACACATTAGAGTATTTAAAATGGTAAGTGAAAGGCTAATGACCTTGCATTTTCTTTTCTCAGTCTTAGTAATTTTTTTTTTAAATGAGACTTTTTCAAATAAACATGAATAAATAAAAATGTTATCTCCTTATAATGTCAAAGGAAAAAAAAAAAGAAGACAAAATAAAGTTATGGAAAATATCTTACCTCAGTACCCTTGGCGATACAATGACACCATCCTTGGGGTAAGGGACCTTCTTAAAGTTTTCTCGCCCACTAGCAACATAGAATTCATGGTCCTCAAACTCTTCTGGCCCTTGTAACTGCCTACCATCGAGTGAATGTAGCCTGGAGGAAAGACAAGCAGATGGAGACGGTGAGAAGATGGCAATGTGGAGAGAGAAAGTTGGAGAGATGTAGACAGAGGGGACAGCCAGAGAGATAGGGAGGGAAGAAAGAGGTGATGACGGGAGTGAGGGAGGGAGGGAGGGAGGGATGGAACATCATGGAAGGGAAAGTGGGAGAGAGAGGGAGAGAGGGGGGGGAGAGAGAGAGAGAGAGAGAGAGAGAGAGAGAAGAAAAACAGATAGAGAGAGCAGTAAAGCAGTAGAGAATAGGAAAGCAAATGTGTCACAAATTTCTTTACACACTCTAAAACAGGATATAATTGAGTAAGTTAACCTAAATGTTTTTTAGTGTTTATACTGGGTGTCTATTATCATCAAATATTAACCATATTCTTAACATCATATTACCTATGAACAAATATGATGTGGTTTGGGCCTTGAACTAAATCAAGTGAACCTTCGTGTAAAGTCTGAAGGGACTTGTTTCATAAGAATTTGGATTAAAACTTTCCCTCAATATTAAAGTAAGAAAATCAAGATAAATGGTCATTAAGTGACCTCCTGAATGATGAAAAGTCAAAGTTGATCTGCATCTCAAGAGGATGACCTACAAAGGGCCTTCCTAGATTTCCTACCCCATTTCAAACTATTTGGCCAGATACATATCCTTTAAAATTACACAAAGTATCCAAAGTACACAAAGCATACATATCTAAACTTAACAACTTATTCAAGATATGGTGAAACTGCTGCTTTCTGAGAAACAACTCCTACGTGTACATACTCCCTTTTCTAAATCTCTTTTTAATCTTATCTTTCCATAAAGTGTTTGTGCCTGTTGCCCTCGTAACAGACAAATAAAGAAAGAGAGATATTGAGAGAGAGAGAATAATATATCTGCACTGGTGCTATAATTAGCATCATAGCAACTGCAACAGTCATGAATTAATAAAGAAAGATGGAAGGAAGGAAGAAAGGGAGCTCCGATGCAAGGATCATATATTCAATGGCGCTAAAGGTTTCTATTGAGATGCCACTGCAGAGCAGGTGACCAGGGCTTCCGTTAGAGGAACCAACGTGGGGTGACTAGCAGGGAAATACACAGGAGGACCTAAGTGTGAGGCGGTCATCAGTTTTGCTTGAGATATATGGCACATTCACACTCTACCCGGCCCTACGCCAGCTGATCAAGCCAATATGCTTTCCTTTTCTCACTCTCTCAGTATTATATCTGGGTCATTACTCTTGTTACAAATGGATATTTTCTTCATTCTTTTACTATCACCTCCCTGTAAGTTTTTGCCTCATCTTAGCAAGAAATGAAGAGGATAACAAAGAAACAAAGGGGACAGATAGATGCATATAAAGTGAGAGAGATAGAAAGAGATAGAAAGAGAGAAAGATAAAGAGAGAAAGAGAGAAAGATAAAGAGAGATAAAGAGAGAGAGAGAGAGAGAGAGAGAGAGAGAAGGGGTAGCAGGAGATACATGTAAATCACAAAAAATATAACAACAAATAGAAAAGCAGGAAAGAGACAGAGAGATACATGTAGAAGGGTGGGGCAGGGAGAGATACATGTACAGTAGATCACAGCAACACTTGGCTATAACATGAAAAATGTAATCAATAACATCATAGAGTATTACACATGTACATGTACATGTAAATATACAAACTAGAATGGAAGTCATGTCATATGCCTGATGTTTGCAAGCTAAGACTGCTTGTTTACACTTTAGGCATAACAAAATGGAATGCTTACTTCCAAACAGCCCCTGTCATGATGTTGACCTTCCGCGTGACCTCGTTTAAGACGACATCATAGTTCTTGAGCATGAACTTTGTGAAGAGGATTTTGACAGCTGGACTGTTGGCATCTCCATTCCGAAAGACGCTGAAAATAAATGAGAAAATTAGAAATAATTAATAAAAAGACAGATACTTTGATTAGTTCTGCAGTAGCAATGAGCATTGTACATGTACATGTAGAAGAAGAATGAATATAGGCAAACATGTACATGTATTTCCTTTCTTCATTTATTCAGGTTTTATTTATATAAAAAGTATGATAAAGAATAGTAATCCAGAGACTAGTGATATAATATTGACCATACAATGGACAACATATTTTGTACATGTATATTTAGAGAAAGAGGGAGAGAGAGAGAGAAAAAAAATAATAACATTCATAAAAATACTGTAATTAGCAACTACTATAGTCACAAGAGAGTGAAAGAGAGAGAGAGAAAGAGAGAGAGACAGAGAGAGAAAAGAGAGAGAGAGACATAGAGAGAAAAGAGAGAGAGGCAGAAAGAGAGAGAGAGAGAGAGAGAGAGAGAGAGAGAGAGAGAGAGAGAGAGAGAGAAAAAGAGATGGTGGTTTAATTTGTACTTACTAGATAACTTTGCTACCAACTGCTATAGCTGCTCTTTTACATCTTGCTGAAACTTTGAGTCTACTGTGCTTGACTGGTCTGATGATAGGTGGAAGCTGAATACAAAGAAAAGGATAAAATTTTGAAAATGATTACAAGATGAATATCTGATATGAATCTAGTAATAATGTACCGGTACTGTAGATCAATATTCCCTGCTTGAAATCCCTTGGAAATTGTTGGGTATTAAGCTCAAAATGCTTTTAATGAATCATTTGTTCATATAATGCATGTACATTATACATGTACATGTATGTTTTTCAACAGCATGAAGTTTCCAGATATACATGTACATGTACATGTACATGTAAACTTCAGACAAAATATATATTTCACTAACCGGTAATATACAATAAAAAATTAAAAAAATTAGTGAACATATTCCCATGAAAATGTGTTTTGTATATATATTTTCTATTCTTGCATTTCTGAGGATGGCACCTAATCTACTGTACATTCAGATTTGATGTACACTATCTTGAATTTTAAGACAAATCTTGAATCACACAATAAAAACATTGATATTTGCCCTAAAATTTTCTTTCTAAGGCAGCGTATGTACATGTATTGTACATCACATCAACAATAACACCAGTACTACATCCAATACACCAAACTGACCCAACACAGAGGATTATTACACAGTTACTTGTACATGTACATGTACAACTGTATATGACAAATGTGAATAAACAATGAAACAAAACAAAGCATAGATGGTAAATTTCTCAAAGCTCCATTATCCCATAATAACAAATGACAACTGCACACTCCACAACGCCATATTGGTCAACTGCATTTCACAATAAATATAACTGATAAAAATGTCCTATGCTTTATAAATCAATAAATCAACACACCTCAATCTCTCCCTTTCCCGCGTTATAAACCCAAGCATCCATTACTGCAGCGCCAGCATAAGAGCTATGAAATTATAAGAACCTCCTATCAAATATGGCACAGAACTGCAGCGCCAGAATGAGAGCTACAAAATTTTAAGAACCTCCTACCAAATATGGCACAAAACATAATGTCTGAATGACTGCATTATACCCACATCTCAAAGTCTCTTGAGATTGTCATGGCTTAGCGAAAGCTCATTATATTGGCAAGTGTAACAATGATCATCACCACGGCACAATGCGGTGGTGTCCGGCACATCTGCGCACTAATTTGCAGAATAATTGCCAATTATTTCTACAAATCAACTTCATGATTGACGCTCAGGGACACGTACATCTACGTGTTATATTTGAGTGTCTTACTTTGATCCTTTTCATCTTCATTCATATTAATGTGAGGACAAAAATTGGTTGGCATGCATCATAAAGTTTGAAAGGAAAGTTTCTGTAGGGGTATTTTGATGAAAGATAAAATAATATTTGAACTTGTAGGGGTTTTGAAAGTTCTTGATCTCTGATACTGGGAAAACATGTACTGTACATCAAAATAAATAAACAAACAAAATATAGTAAATAAACATAACTTGGGAAACCTAACACATACTATCTAAAGTCTAAACTGGGTAAAAGAGGGGTGGGGGGGGGTACAAATTGTGCATGTACATGTACATTTCAGATCGCGATGAAAATGAACCGTTACAAGATTTTCTTGATTGATTTACATGTACTTTAGTTATCATGTACACATGACAGAGCTTTAGTTTGATAGTTGAAGCTATGTTATATTTTCCTTCCCTGATTTTGAGCAGTTTCTTTTCAATGAAACAGCCAAAGGGTCATTCTCTCTTATGATTTATCATGAATGGCCCATGCTAATAACTGCAAACAAATCATTACACTCACGGTAAAACTAAAAGACTAGGACATAACAAGTACAATGTAAGCCTATAAGGGAAAGAACTTTGACTCAATTTTGATTTCTATAGCCTTATAAAAAAGAACCATGGTAATAATTTTTGGGGTTTCCAAATTACCATCCACCATAGTAACCATGGTTTAATGGTTACCATGGTGGATGGTAATTTGGACCAAAAAAAACATGGTTACCATGGTACTTTTTTATAAGGGATATTGCAGCTTTTCAGCAGGATGTCACATGCTGCTTTCCAGGGAAGGCTGAATATTTCTTGACCTTCTTCGCATGAAATTTCAAAAGAAGAGACCTTGCCCTAGTCAACTTCATTCAAGAAAAATCACCTGCCATCAATATTGAATCATTTACTTTAATTCACTGCCATAAGACAGGATGGATGATAAATCTACATGTATATTTGCCACACTCAACTCAGGTGATGTAAATGGGTACCTGGCACCCCGCCCCCCCCCCCCCCCCACTCAGTGTTATTTAGGGTACGCATATGCTTGTTCCCTCTTTTTGAAATCACCCCCTATCTGAGGACTGCCAACATTTCCGAACCCCCCTTTCGCGGGCTTTTCGCGGGCTTTTCCTGCCTTGGAGACCCCCCTAAATCAGGAAAAATGCTCAATGTACCCCCCTAAATTCGGAATAATTTGTCAGGAGTCCAAATAGATGAGAGAAAAAAAGAAAAAACACCCCCTTTTTAAAGATATCTCCGGGTGAAAAGTCAAATACACCCCTTTTTTTACAATTCTCGGGCCAGACTTTGTCGCACGAAAAGTACCCCTTTACCGGACATTTTGGCAACACGCATGCGGTCATTTCGAAACCTGAGTGGGGGGGGGGGCCGGGACCTGGCAGAAATTAATTCCTTGAAATGCTAAAGCGCCATAATGGCAGCCGTGCTAAAGCAATCGGGAGCGCCAGGAGTGTCAAATCTGACAGACATGAGTGCTATACAAGAACCCACTATTATTATAATTTAATATTATCTTAAAGCTGCAACGCTGTCAAGAAAAAAAATCAGTTCTTAGTTCATCCCCTATTTCAAAAACTTAAGTGAACAATCAGTTTCATACACCAGAAAACTTAGAAAACAACATTTGTTATTAAAGGTGTACATCCTAACCAATATGGGTATGGTTTATAAATATTTTAGATTCACGATGGTAACTAAATCAATCTTTGTAGACATGTTGGTCAAATACAGGTACATGTAGTATTCACAAATTTGTCAAAAGACCAGACAGGCAACTGATGTACACATACAAAAAATAATCTGCATTGGTGCAAATAACCAGCCTTGTTTGGTTGCTCAGTAGCCCTCCAGTTGAAAACAGATCAGCTATTGACATTGAAGGATTAAAACCAAGTTTTATCTCAATCTCTTGATTATATACATGTATCCATGGTTCATAGATCACTAAAAGTCCATTAGTGAATTGCAGTTATTTTAATGAAATTGAACTGAAATTGGGAGCGGTCAATTTGTATACCGGTAATAATTTATATAGACCTATTATTTCAGAATTATTTTAGCACAAATGTTAAGAAATTGTCCGATTTTGACAAAGATATATTTATAAGCCTTTAAATTTTGATGAAAAGTGGATAATATTTATATTTTAATTCCCAATTTTTGTTTGTAAGCAATATTTAGATGTTATCATTATACATGTATACCGGTAGTTCCTTTCATTTGTACTTATATATATTTCTAGAATATTGTGTATGATTCTTCTTAATTTGTATGATGCCTTTTAATGATTTGAATTCTGTAAATTCATTTGAAATTTAGTCTTAGCAGGCTAAAATGAGTGAATAAAATACCTTGAATTGAATTGAATTGAAAAGATTACTTTGCCTTTAATTTAGATTAATAAATTCATATCAGTCAAATCTAGAACTATCATATTCCTAAAAAGCAAAGTAATGCTTGTCCTACAGTGCATGGGAAAAAGAGATTACAGACTCTCTATATACCAAACATTACAGTGTATACATGTATTTAATTTCATCTCAGTAAAACTTGAAGCGGAAGGGAGTAATAGGCACTGCAACTACCGACATTTCTGGGAATATTGATTGAGTATTGATTAAATCATTGATTCACTACTCAATGAAATTGCTGTACTGGTCGTGGCCTTGGATAAAGGTTGAGTAAAATCATGACGGATATCAAATTATGGGGTATTTTTCTGCCTCACAACACAACAATGACAATATAATCAAAGAGGTAGATCGACTTGGAATATGGATTTTTGAAACAAAGTCTGATTTATACCAGGATGGTACATTTATGTAAGAATTTACTGCCTCTATTAATGAGTGATATTTGTAATCTGATGATTGTTCTGAATGCATTATTGTACATGTAAAAAAAATATCTGTCAAATAATCTTTAAAACAATTATAGTTTGCTGTAGTTTTTTAAAACTTTTCCATCTCAAATGTCAGTATCTTTATTCCCTCCTGATCATTCTCTTTATGATCACAGCTTAGTATTTTCAAAATAAACACACAAAACAGTTAGATTGATACAAATTCAATAGGTATACTCTATTGATAACACCTTCATGTGTACACTTCAAGGAGTTTCAATATTTGAAAAAGCTCAGTGACACAAATGTACAGGTAAGTAGCGGACGGAGCTCAATGGGGCTCTTATAAGTTATTTGCATCCACTACTATAGATACACAGTGTTTATTCTTAGCTCCTGTGTAACTTTAGGATCAATAACACAACAAAAGCACACCGGAGCTGCAGCAATCAGGGTCTTATAGCTATTGGTGAGAAGAGCAGACAATGCAGGGAGAAGAATTGAAGGAGAAGTGGATTCATTCAAAAGAAAGCGGATTGGAGGAAGAAAACAAAATAATCGATGGCACCTTAGTGACCAGTTACTAAAGCGGGCGGTTGTAATGGGGGTAATAATGCTGGTGCCACTGGATCTAATGACATACTCGAGTCACTTGTGTACCTTTAATTACATGCATGCATGCCAAGATGTAATGGAAAATCACATTGTTATTCCTACATATTTATTTTAATATGTCTACATTTTCGGTAATTTCTACAGGTAACTTTAAAAATTGCGCCCTTTGCTTTGCTTTTATATGGACATTAACTTGTGTACAGGTGTATAGGTATATGGAGGTTAATGTGTATGTGTAACTTAACAGATTTCTACAAGATTTAAAAGATCTACATGTACATGTACATTGTACACGTATCCCTGAAACTTATTGTAAAGTGTGAGGCAGTCCTTCATGTATCAAAGTACTCACACTTGTATCTTTTCTATAACGTACATGCTTGTACAAGAGCTCTCTCTATGCATCAGATCTACAGACTATCTCTATATTTACTAAAAATATATATTTGTACAGGTAGAGGTCTACAATGCACGGGTACAGATGACTGAATGTTTGTCTATATGCCTCGTTTAATATTTTCATTCAGCAATGTCTCCATTTTTTCTATTAGAAAACCCCAAAAGCAAGTAAATAAGATTTATGTGAACCTAACATTTACACTAAATGTGAATGTGAAATGGACCACCACTAACAAATTTACACATGTACATTACTAAATATGCCTCCTACTGAATGCACATTAATTAGTACACTTTACACAATCATAGTGCAACCAATTCAATTAGTTAAAATCAAATACTGGTTCGTGGAAGTCACGTTTTTTTCATTTTAGTGCTAATTAATTAAAGTGATTTTTGTTTTACTCTCAATCCAAACAATCTCAGGTACACTTAAAAGTGCATCGGCTCTACAAGCTTATCGATAATGTATCCTGGCATCATGCATCTTGAAAATGTACAGTATACTAAACTAATGGGTATACACATGAGTAACTAAGGGTAAAGACGGTGTATATATGCATTAGTAGTCTTGGTGACCATTTCAACATGTCTATTGAAGGGGAATGAAAGGGAATGACATGGAAAACATATCAGTGAAAGCAATCTCTTCTACAATGTAAATGTTTCCTGGGGGTGGGGGGGGGGGGGGCATTGTTATGCAAAAACACAGATGACATACAACTGTACATGTACTAAACTGTACTGAATCAAGTACAGTTTTATGTTTTTTGAGGTTGGAACACAAGGACTTGTTTGCTAATGATCTATACCATGACAAAATATTCAAATTGTTTAAAATGGAGAGATCAAAGAAAATGCAATTTTGCTTTAAAGGCCTATCAGGCATTGATCAGATTGATAAAAGCTCTCTAGAAATACAATTTGAAACAACATTTTGGAGAAAAGAATATACAAGTATGTATATTCATTTTGGAGAAAAGAATAAACTAGTATGTATATTTCTGGCCATGCTAAATGTAAACACAGTCTACAATTCTTTTAGAAAAAGGGTCAGTTACTCAATTTGCAACAAAATGTTAATGTTGTATGAATGATATTAAGAGTGAACTATGATATGAAGATCTGTTTCATAATATAAAATAATAAACTAAATAAATAAAAACCCATTCCACCAAAATCAAGTGCCCTGCAACCTTCCATAAATCTCAATCGTAAAGTTGTTAAACGATTGAGGTATTCCATTATTTTTACAGATTTGTATAAATCTTTACAATTTATTGCAAATGGTCAGTATGCAATAAATAATACACACACAAAGCTTATCTTCTCAAAGCCAATTCATTTCAGCTGTGTCAGTGTCATATTTGTATGACCGGAGACTCTAGGCTACTGGAGAGTGGAGACCCCCCACAAATACAGTGAATAAACTCAAAGATCAAGGATATATCTCTCATGAAAGAAAAAGGAAGTTTTATAGAAATCATACTGTTTACACGTCGCTTGGCAACATGGTTTACGTCGCGTGAATGGATGAGTGCTATTACTATTTGCATTAGAGATATGAAGAGAATTGGCACACGCGTGTGTACAAAGGTGAATTTATATTTGATAAGTCAAGTGAAGAATCTGATGCATTGTTACTTTTCATTTACTCTACACTGTATATGAATATGAATTAGTTGATGGTGACACATATACTTTACATACACATAGCAACAGAAATGGACAACATGCATTGCACAGGGGTTAACACCTATATTTAGGCAACCTTTTTATGCCCTTTTTTCATTTTTTGCAGTTAATTAATGTTCCATACACCACCACACACTGAGACAACTTCAAACATACCTTTACAGCTGGATCTAGTGGGTCACTCTGCAAACGATGAATTAAATCAAAATCTTGGTTTTATAATTAATCATAATTTCCCATAAATTGGGAGTCATATTTTAATTTTGTCTATTCTTGTGCTACCCAAATTTTGAAATTGAATACGATTTCATTCACCAAACATAAATATTCAAATCCATGCAAAAACAAATGTCAAATGAAAAAAAAAAATGTTTAGAGCCAGAAAAACCTTAACTTTGTGTTAAAGTTACAAAATACGCTTCTGGCTCCAGACAACAGACAATTAATTAATTGTTTTTCACAAGACTAGGATTTTTTTCTCATTACGAGTCAAACTTAAAGGAAACCTTGCACCAAGAAATAAGTGAAGTTATTGTGAGAGATGTACCTGTTCTTGCCTATCAATCATAAAAGATTCCCCACCAAAGTGTATGAGAGATGTAAAGCAAGTTATTCTTAATAAAGCATACCGGTAATCACAAGTTTCTCAGCACTACATGGGCATGTCCATTTTCTTTATAATGTGACGTACTGAGTGGAGTCCTTTATCAAGTAAACATATCCAAATTTATGGATACTTTATTACTTTCTTCCCAAGTGTGTGTGCATGGTGCTGAAATATTTCATTCACTATATTTTGTAATAATATTTGTCAGATTGAAAAATTGCATTGTTGATGCACTTTTGGGGTGACATGTATATGAATTAGATTTGTCAACTGCTTTAATTTTGTAATTTTGTAAATAAAGGAGTTATAATTTCCCCCTCTTAAACATTTTCACCAAATCTTAGATAAGCTATGATTTCCCTCATTGAATAGCATAGGTTAAATGTTCCTGAATTAAAGTGTCTCCCCAATTAGAGCTTGAAAGCATGATCCATGACATGTACAAGTTTGGCTGGTAAACTACAGTGTATGTCACATTATCAAGAAAATGACTGCATCCATGTCACACCGAAAGACATTACATCATGTAAAGAATATCTTCATTCATGCATGTACTTGTATATCTCGCATACATTTTTGTATGGAATATTGTAGGTAGATTAATAGGAAGGAATCAAATTCATCTTTCAGCATACTTTCACTTATTCTTTGGGGTACGATTTCCTTTAAACTGAGGATGGAACGGTGATGAAAAAAGTCTGTTCTTTCTGTTCAAAACAAGTAGGAACTAATAGTAATATGTGTGTTCCAAATAAAAACTGCAAATGTGATGCAGAAAATGAAAATGAAAAGTTTGTGATTGCATGAAAGATGCATGCTTTTCTTTCTGATGTGTACTTTCTCACAGCAGCACTTGACATGAGTCATAATAATTGTTACAATTGAGCAAACTTACCGATAATCTGGTCTTTTGTGGAGTTAAAGTTGTGATTTTATTGTACCTGATAGAAAAAGAGAGAGGAATAAGATTATACTGAATTAGACATTGTCATAATTTACAATTACACAAATAAAATCTTCAGAATTCCATGATTAATAAGAGATTTTGTAAGACAATTATATTTTCAAGATTTAATTCTAATATACACTGTAGTGTAGTGTGCCTCATAATAGTGTTCTAGATCGATTGCACATTATAAATGACCAAAGGGGTATTGTACATGAAGTTTGTCCCAATTGACAACACATGTACTGTACTTTATGTAGATATTGTATGTAAATGTATGAAAGTATATCAACCAGCCAAAATTTTGTTTTAGATGTTGAAGATGAAATTCGTACATACTGTACATGTACAGACAGTTTACATTAAAATAACAACTAAATTATTCATATCCTTACCAAGTTTCATATTTTTTTAAGGATATGAAAATTTGATTTGTCCAGATTTACGTTCTTGAGATCAATGTTACATCTAAAGGTATTTAAACAAAGGCCTTAATTAAACCAGTGCACCTGTCATTCTTGAGTTACAAAAAACATCAATTTTACCATGGGTATGGACGATTTAGTTGTTAACTGTACATGTACATGAACAGGAACAAGACTTGGAATTTTGTAAAGTTTTCTCACATAAAATTTAAGTACACACAATTTTTTTCTCCAATTCACTGTATTAAAGTAAAAGTATTATTAATTAGTGAAAAGGAATTCAATTTAAAAATGAGAAGCAAAAGGGCCAACAAAGGCTTGCTGAGTCTTGCTCCTCGAATATCCTAGCAAAAAATCATCTTGAAAGATGATCTTTAAGAGAAAATTGTAGGATTTTCCATGGGATGTAATTCAGTTTCTTATCGTTCTTCATAAACATTAATCAAACTGTGTCAGCCGGTCTAGGTGTTGTCTATTGTCTCATGTTATCACACAACCTCCTCCCTCCATAAATAGCAGTAATCACGGAAGAATCCTGGATCGATGAACAGGCTTAGACCTACAACATCGTGTATTAAAGTAAAGTAAGTAAGTAAGTAAAGATGGGCTCATTTGGCTAATTAAACTTGGATATTCAATTTTTTTAAACATGTATAATTTTTTTTTTAAAGATGACCAGAGGAAAAATTGAATGATATGCTGCATGTATTACCTTGAGTTTACCACAATAGGACCTTTTTTCATGGAAATGCAACGTATTCAGTGTAACTACATGTACATGTACATGTATCAATAAATGTAACACATCTGACAAAAGCATGGAAATCCAATCAATTTTTATTTGCTTGACCTTTTTTCTGAACTAGAAATCTACAAAATAATATAGACCTACATTGTACATAATGGACCAGTATATCTTTATAGTACAGGGCCCTTTAGTTTTACAGCTCAAACCACATGCATCTGACCAAAATTTTAACTACTGTACTAAAAAGAAATATATAGGCCTACCAGGGTTGGCCAGTATAAAGGACTGGAGTGGAAACACTGAGCGGTAACTACCGCCTAGCAAAATGTTTTAAAAAAGAAGGAACTACTCCGAAAACAATATTTTAAACAAGAAAAAACCATAGCCCTAACATATTTAAAGTTTTAAACTTTGTCCATTTCCGCCAAATTTGAATTTGTAAAAAGTATCTAGACTACATCAGTAGTATGAATTTCAGACAACTCGCCCTGGACAACTCGACACAATACCCTGGACATCTCGCCACAATACCCTGGACAACTCGCTATGGCGAGTTGTCCAGGGTGGGGTGCCTTTTCGGACAGCTCGCCACACTTTTTTCCCCCTCATGATTTCTAGATCTAAAATCCCTCATCTTAGATGAAATTGTCATTTTATGTATTCATTATTCTTTTATAAACACAGTGAGGGATAGAAATCATGAGGGGAAAAAAGTGTGGCGAGCTGTTCGAAAAGGCACCCCACCCTGGACAACTCGACCGTGACGATTTGTCCAGGGTATTGTGTCGAGCTGTCTTTGTGGCGAGTTGTCTGGACTCCTAAATGTACATGTAAACCCTGCACTTGGATGTACGAGTATAAATTTGGGTGTTGGAAAAATCGGGGTTAAGTTTTCTCTAAAAGAGGATCCGAGACATTACGGTAGATAACTTCACACAGGCGCGCACCCGTCCGCAACCCACCATCTGTATGCACTTGTCTTGTGTAGGGGTTTGCAGTGAAACCTGTGAAAAAGTGTATAGATCTACTAGACCTATATCAACGTTTTCTGAAAAATACTCCAAAAATAAAAATAAAATTGACACAAAACAGGTAATAAACATAACAAATTTTAAGTTTTAACTCATGATCTTTATTTGGACATTTAGACCTAGGCTAGGGTCTAATGAATATTTACTTCATTTTGGGTATGTTTTAGTAGGGTATCTCCACGCCGGCGTTACTTACACTTGTTACAGGTCAAATTTTGGATAGGTTTCTGAACAAGCGCCGAAAAATCAACTGACATCAATTTTGACTTTGTCAAACTTGCGTTCCGACTTCAGTATGGCCTGATCTTCTACTAGCATGACTAACTTTATCACTAGACTACTTAGTACTTAATACGCCGAAAAATCAACTGACATCAATTTTGACTTTGTCAAACTTGCGTTCCGACTTCAGTATGGCCTGATCTTCTACTAGCATGACTAACTTTATCACTAGACTACTTAGTAGTACTTGACTCTAGAGTAGAGGCTGAATACTTACTGGTGTCTCTTGAACCCTTCAGCACCAGCTGCAACATAGAAATGGTTATTTTCAATGCCTCCTAAGTCCGAAATTGTATTCCTGCCAGTTGGTGTAAACACTCGTCTCACTGCCCCACCATTTCTCGCCTTCACTCTTGCTGTGACGAGCTCAATAAATGAGTCCCAGTTTTTAACTTGACGTGGGTTGACAACAACCTTTTTGCACTGAAAGTTCGTATCTCCATTCCGATACACATATATGCTTTTGGCTGGCGTTGATTGAAGAGTTGTCCCAGATGCCATGGTGAAAATTAAAGTCTGAACGACCACTAATTTGGCCGACAGAAAAAATTAAAAAGTTGTAGACTCTAGGTTAGTGCCTCGGATCGGATCTCTTCACATTCAGCAGCAATTAACTTCAGCGGCGATCGATGAACTACGCCCGCCTGTAGAGCAGGGTCCTGTAACATGTGCAAACTCACTCTCACTTCTCGAGCTTCTTCGGAACACCTCTGCAAACATCAAACATCACCAGTTCTGGTGAACATCTTAACTGCATCTTGCTGTTTCATATTCTTGATGAAGATTTTTTCAAATGTGTTTGTCTTTCTCACTCATTGCAGGTCGAAAATATTTTAGTTTTGTTTGCGGTTTGTCGGTAGTTTCTTGTGTTCTTGCGGCAGCTTTGTTGCGTGCATGAATTGATCGCGAGAGTACGTCAGCAATGCATGATGGGACGACCTGTTTACACGTATCGGCACGGCCGGTATTAGATGGGCGCCGACATTTTGCGCACTAAATTTCACATTTCTGTGCGTGGATACGTTCTTTTTCTCTTCTCATCTCATGCATATTCATTCCCCCCTGAACAACTGTCGAATCGATAACCAGGATTTTTGATTGTACCTCTAGGTTCAGTTAATCAAGCTCGTTCCAAAACTATATTATTTGTCCATATTTGTTTTTGCCAAAATATTCTAAATGCGATCTGAAAATGACCTTATTTGTCACTTTACGACACTTAAAATTCAAGGTTTTTTTAAGTTGTCATGGCAATAAAATACAATTTTTTTTAATGATCTCATGTATATATTTTGATTGCTCATCATTTTCTCCTCAAATTGATCATTTGGTTTTACAAGTCTCGTTGGGCAGATTTTAAGCTACGAGTCCTCAAAGATAAGGTAATTTTTTCCAATTTCTCCTAATTTCGCACCTTTCACCCGAAATCGTAGTACATTATTGAATATGGAGCAAGATACGAGAATTGATAGTTATCATACAATTTATTATGATATTTCTGATGATTTAATTACCTAGTTTTGCAGATTTATAACGTGAAACAAATACTAAACTGAGTTTGAAAATACAACAAAAGCAGCTGATTTATTATATTTAGCGTGTACGCGAACACGTGTAGCCCGCTTCGGTCAGGGTAGTGTAACGCCACCCTACCGTTGTGTGAACAATCCCACATGCAGATAAATGTGTCTTGCGCACATTTGGAAGCATAAACACAAGTTTAAAAAAATATTAAAAATCGCTCGAATTGAATTTTATCATGACATTTTTAGATTATGTTTCTTTAGAATGTTGTTTTTAGATATGCACATGTCACAAGATTTTTTTTCTATTAGATTAAAAGAAAATCAAATATTTCTTGGGCATGGTCGGGAAATTTTTTATCGCCTGATGAGTGATGTGTGTTATGTTATTAACTGAAGCTGAGCCAGGTGTAGACCGAAAGCTTCAGTCTCTATAATCGTCGGTTGTTCCACTGAGACTACGTCTGGCTCCACTAGACCTCCGGTTATAGGTCTAGTGGAGCCAGACGTAGTCTCAGTGGAACAACCGACGATTATATTCATTCCCCCCTGAACAACTGTCGAATCGATTGCACCTCTTTGGAACTTTTCAAGCAGAAGGTGCAACACATCAAGCTCCGTTGAGCTTCAGACTGTTTTTTAGCTGCACATAGAATTCTTGTAGAACCTTTTTACTTGCACTGTACACTCGGCACTTGACAAACACAAGGTACGATAATACGCCAACGGCGGACTGTACTATACTGGAAGAAGAAGAAGAAGAAGATTATAGAGACTGAAGCTTTCGGTCTACACCTGGCTCAGCTTCAGTTAATAACATAACACACATCACTCATCAGGCGATAAAAAATTTCCCCTGACCATGCTCAAGAAATATTTGATTTTCTTTTAATCTAATAGAAAAAAATCTTGTGACATGTGCATATCTAAAAACAACATTCTAAAGAAACATAATCTAAAAATGTCATGATAAAATTCAATTCGAGCGATTTTTAATATTTTTTAAACTTGTGTTTATGCTTCCAAATGTGCGCAAGACACATTTATCTGCATGTGGGATTGTTCACACAACGGTAGGGTGGCGTTACACTACACTGACCGAAGCGGGCTACACGTGTTCGCGTACACGCTAAATATATAAATCAGCTGCTTTTGTTGTATTTTCAAACTCAGTTTAGTTATTGTTTCACGTTATAAATCTGCAAAACTAGGTAATTAAATCATCAGAAATATCATAATAACTTGTATGATAAATATCAATTCTCGTATCTTGCTCCATATTCAATAATGTACTACGAATTCGGATGAAAGGTGCGAAATTAGGAGAAATTGGAAAAAATTACCTTATCTTCGAGGACTCGTAGCTTAAAATCTGCCCAACGAGACTTGTAAAACCAAATGATCAATTTGAGGAGAAAATGATGAGCAATCAAAATATATACATGAGATCATTAAAAAAAATTGTATTTTATTGCCATGACAACTTAAAAAAACCCTTGAATTTTAAGTGTCGTAAAGTGACAAATAAGGTCATTTTTAGATCGCATTTAGAATATTTTGGCAAAAACAAATATGGACAAATAATATAGTTTTGGAACGAGCTTGATTAACTGAACCTAGAGGTACAATCAAAAATCCTGGTTATCGATTCGACAGTTGTTCAGGGGGGAATGAATATGCATGAGATGAGAAGAGAAAAAGAACGTATCCACGCACAGAAATGTGAAATTTAGTGCGCAAAATGTCAGCGCCCTGGTAATGTTGAGACGCGCGTGCTTACGGCGAGCCGTGCTGATACGTGTTTACAAAGCGTGCGTGTCAACATCTATGTTGTCCATAGTAACCGTATTGAAGAGCTGACAAGCCGATGGATGTGAGCTGTATCGCACGCACTCTTGTTCTCAACAATAGGCCGAGTATACAAACTAAATCAAGCTGTCTTTTGCCCAATAAACTATACTTTTGTTTGACTTAGTAGAGCTTATTACAACAAGCTACAAGTTTGTACATGAAAACACGATTGGAGGGGTCGACTTATTGTGCATATAATATTTAACTGTTTCTGCGATAAAATTAATGATGATGACAACAACAACTAGATCTATACTAATACAATAATATTAATGATAATGATATTTAAAAAAATAATAAAAACAGTAAATCCTAATAGTAATTAAAAGAAATGATTACAATATTACTACTACTACTAGCAATTATAACAATGGTCGTCATCATGTGGCGGTCCGATGATATATACAACAATGCTAGAAGCATTGGTGGTAGCAACGGAAATATCATTACAAAAGAGAACATAAACTAAAAAAAGCCAATTAAGGAGAAGAAGAAGAAGCGGAAGAAAAAGAAGCCGGAAAAAGAGAATAACAAGAAGCCGGAAAAAGAGAATAACAAGAAGAACAATAAAATAGGAAGGAAAACAAAGACAGAAGAAAACAGGTTGATGTGGAGAGTTCCTGTTGGGAAAATCATTTGTTCCCGTTTGACAAAATAATGCGATATATAAGCTTGTTCGTCTCATGTCGAGGGGAGGGGGGGGGGGTGTCCCCCCCCCTATAACATGACTGTCTACGCACTCGCATCCAGAAAAAGCGTCGAAATGGTGTCTTTTTCACATAAAGTATACGGCGTCGTCGACAATTTCTTCAAAAAGGGGTGTTTTTTAAGCACTGATTGAGAATTAAAAACCAACCAAAAAATGGTACTTTTTTCAGGTTCACAAGTTTCGACGTCTTCTTACATACGCCATTAGGGTCCATTTCAGAGGTTGATGGACACGGGTGGGTAGCACTTGTATATGAGAGTGACCCCCCCCCCCCCGAGTCCCTCCACATGCACGGGGGGGGGGGGTGTCTTATGGTCACTTAACTTAAATGGCCATATTTCTTAGAATCTTATGTATCGAAAGGTCAAAGCATTTTGGCGAGTACATGCCTTGTTAACCAGACTTTGTGACCCGAATTTAAAAAGGTTTAAACTTAACGCATGGTTTAAACCCGTATTACACATGGTTTAAAATTAGCCAAGTTGCCTTGCACGTACGTGTCTAATATTGGACCTCTAGCCGTGTCGAGCTTATTTTGGTCTGATTTTAGACCATTGGTTATGTAATTGCAGATTTAAACCATTACATGGTTTGAATTTAAACCTCCTTTGTGAACTTGGGCCTATGTGGCCGGTAGGTCAGTTGATTTGAAACAGTAATTTGAATAAGTTTACATAAAATTAATATACAAAATCTTTCAAGAGTTATGTTAGACAATAATTATTGCAAAGGACACATTTTTATGATGGTAAGTTATATGTGATGCATACTTTCATAAAATTCATTTAGGCAAATCTTTGGTAAGCCTCCAGACCAGCTAGGACACAACCCAATCATGCAAGAACTGCCGTAGCGTTTACGTATTTTATTCTACCGAGAGCGCGAATGCAATCGCAATATACAAAGAATTATGCTCTTAAAATTTGGTGCCCAGAAACTTCTTATTAATGACTAAAACGCTCTGCACAAAGTTGTTTACATGTATTGTGAGCGCACAGCGCAGTCAGTGACGCAACAATACATGCGCATCTGAAAACATGCGGCCTTATATCTAAAAGTTCGTTCAACCATGCAGGCATTGGCGTGACATGACAGCGCGTGGCAGACACTCGACGCGCGTAGTGGAACTAGGTCAGTATCATCATGACGTAATAAAACTTGATTATGACGTAATATTCACAAGCGCTAGTATTGTGACGCAATAGTCAGCTGGGATTGTCAACGGACTTTGCGGTTTTCAAGTGCGTGTCACATGCAATAAACACATAAATGTCTTGTAAGACAAATTACACGCCACAAATATTATCTGTATCTATTAATTTTATTGACATGCCGAAAAATCGCACATCAGAAGAAAAAAAAATTCTCTTGTCAAATGCTTATCTAATCACTGTAAGCAGCAACATCAGGGAAGAAAATTGTACGGAGAGATACAGAATTTGATTATTATAAATTCCTGATTAGTGTTCATTTTGTCATAGCATAGGGGTCTCGTGGTGTAATGACTAATTCACTTGACTCTCAATTTAATTAATGATTGAGGGTTCGAATCCCAGCTCGATACTAACGTCCTTCGTTGAAGACAATAATTCACATTAACCATTCTCCAGCCAGGTGAAATTGAGTATTTTTTGTATTTTTTTGTTGTTGGTATTTTATTTATTTAATCACGGTTAAAAAACCTGCTATCAGCTAGAAGCTGCTTTTCAGCAAGGCCGTGAACAACAATTGAACACAACAAGTAAACGAATACAAAATTATATACAAAAGAAATCATAAACATTATCATAACAATATAATAAGATGAAAACAAACAAAATGAATTAAAAATTACTTGGATAACAGAAACGATGGAGGGGGTGTATTATTTAAGAGAGGGATATAAGACGTGCGAATGTTCCCAGGCTATTTTCTAATCGGATGTTTGCCGGTAGGTTATTGAAAAGTTTTGTGGCTGAATAGAGAGGGCTCTTTCTGAGGTAATTTGTATGTGGTCGTGGCAGTTGAACTTGGCAATCGATATTACGTAACAGGTAGTTGTGTGATTTAAGATGGATCCGTGAGCATAGTGAGGGTGGGGCTATGTTATTAACTAATTTGAATACAAGTAAAATTGACTCCTTATTCCATCTTTCTTCGAGTTGATCTACATTTAGCGTGTTATACAAAATGGCTCTATTGAAACGATTATTTACCTCTAAAACGTACCTTAACGCTCTATTCCGTAAAACTTGGAGACGATTTAGCTGGCTTTCATTGCCATTTCTCCAGAGTCAAAGATTGGTTGAATTAACGATTTATACAAAAGGAGAGCAGTACTTCTCGGTACATAAAATCTGATGCGCTTTTTTTGTATTCGTTCATGTATTCATATGTCAATGTACTTGTCAATTGCTATATAAGGAAATAATAATTGCAGGGCCCTCAGGAAGAACAGCGTTGATGATAATGATAATGAAAATGTTAATATTGATTCCATAAATAAATGACTGAATACATTGACATATGAATACATGAACGCATAAAAAAAACATAAATACATACATCCATATATACTCTACGTTTATATCTTCCAGGAAGGAACTACATGTGTATTTTAACGCAACGCCAGTATCGTGTATTTTTAATTAATTTATACAGTAAAACCCGATTATAAAGACCGTTCAAGGGAGACAAGAAAATTGTATTTATGAGCAGATGGTCTTCATGTACAGGCTCACTTAGTATATATTTCAATGAGAAACGATTTTTTTTTTCTTCATATAAAGGTGGTTGTTGAAGCAGGTTTTACTGTATTGCATATATATTAAGGAATGCTTTGTAGGACTACCTACTAATTATGTAACTTGTATTTACATGTACATGTACATGCAAGTGTGTTTCATTATGACAATCCCATCACAACCCTCGTGTTTTAAGGACCCGCTCCTTCTTCCATATTGGTAATTGTTCAATTGAGTTTCTATTCATTTGATACAAAAAAGGAAACGTGTTATTTTTAATCCGAAACTGACTTTGAATCTGAAAGTAGACACTAGATTAGGAAATACGGTATGTTGTAATATGGTGTAAATACCTTGGACGTGCGTTGATACAATACAAGGCTGTACATATCAGGCTTGATCTGATTTAAATTAATAGATTTATTTATTTCCGTTTCAATCATGTACAATATACATATAAATGCATTACTTGGCACAGAAACAATGGATTAAGTTCGTATAAGACACAGAATAGAAAATAATAACGGAACACTGCTGACCGTAATGTTTACATGAAATAACTATGCTATAACTAAACGAAAATTATGATTTGAAACTCAGTATTTTTCTACCTATTTCATACGTCACTTTACGAGAGATTTCTTCTTCTCTGTCACGTTTATTATGCCCATATATACTGTAGAATTTAATTCATTATATATTTTAAACGAAATATTCCTGCCGTGTTGGAGAAACACAAAGGCATTGTGTCACATTTACAACTTTCAAGATTTATAGTTTAAGGCAAACAGAGTTCAAAGGGTTATCCCGTCAAATTTTCTTTTGAATACAATTTTGCGTTAACAATCATTCGACTAATAAGTGTCTGAAAATGACCGTACTTGTAAAGCATTGGAACAATTAAACAACAGAGAATGATTTAAACAAGCAATACTTGCTTGTGAAATCGGTGAATCTTCACACTCCTGCCATGTTTCATACCTATACCTTCGTAACAACAAACTTTTTAATCTTTAATGAGCCTTATAAAATGTGACCATATGTAGAAGTGATATAATCACTGTATATCAATAGTTCTTGCTTTCATATTGGCCGTTTCTTTCAGACTACAACCTGAAGAGAATACAACTTTCGTAAAACGGAAAACATTCTATTTTGGGAGTCATCTTTTCTCATCAGTGTTAGATGTGGACACATTGTTCTACGTCTGATGCTCCTCTGTTCCATGTCTTTCTTCCATCCGGACATTCAAAGCACATCGTCTGTCCAATCAGTGACTGAAACGTGTGCAGGGGGCATTGGATACAAGGAGATAAACCGGATGTTGAAAATTGGCCTGCTTCGCATTGATCTGTAAAATACATAATCAAAAGTGTCTATGTTTTATTTGATAGTTGTTTTACATTATACAGCATTCCATCAGTTTTAGCTTAAAATAAAATGAGTTTAGTTTTTATACTTATAACAACTTTGAGTTTGGTTATAGCGTAAATTCTTCGAATTACTGAAATTTTAATGTTTACATCTTGCTTCCACATGAGTTGAGGTGGATTCTTTTTTAATTTACTATAGTATTTGTACAGCTTACCTTCACAATCAGCCTTGCTGGGACTGCCCTTGTGTTTCGTAGCCTGACCGGTGTCACATGACTTGCAGCTCACCTGACCATACTCGTCCTGGTAGAGTCCATAACCGCATTTGTGACACGCACTAGATATGGTGTCGTAGTAGTGACCAGTCGTACAAGCGACTTTGAAGGGAACAACAAAATATGTTACCATAATTAGTCTAGCTTTATTGGCCAGAAAAAGAAAAAAACACACAATTTAATGTTCTAATGTGGAAAATAGTGTGAAGGACTGGAGTCTCTTGTATCGTCAGCCCGCAATCGTTAATAGCGTCCCAGTATCGATCTCTTGATCGCAATTTATACACAATTTGTTCTTGAAAGAGAAAATTGTCATAAAAAGCCAGTATGATACCATTTAATCAAGAATATGGCTATATCCTTCATCATATGAGTTGGTTAACTTACCACAGCTGGTGTTATTGCGACCAGCAACGTAACCATCAGGGCAATCTATGTAGTGTTCGCTGATCAATAAGTAGGCGTCTGGCGCATATTCACTTTCAGCATGAGGTTTCATGAAGAAGCTGAACCTTCCGCTATCTTCAGAGACGGTGATGTCCAACACTTCTCTTGCCAGATCCTGAAGCTTCTCCTGTGCCACCTTCACGTCATTGACTTTAGATACACCGACACCTAACTTCATCGAGATGTGCATCTCCTGGAGGCCTTCGAATAGACTTTCTTCGATGTCGTCAGTAGTCTTTTCGATGTCTTCTACAGGCGATTCTTTGGCACTGTGGCGTAGACGTCGTCCGACCAGCGCACGCTTTCTTCGACGACTGGTCGGCCAGCCGCAAGTGATGGCGACGTTGTCGACCGTACAGTCCTCATTCATTTTGCAGATGTCACTGTGGACGGACTTCTCGATAGTTTCGATGAAGGACTGTGCGATGTCGGACAAGGTAGCTGGACTACCACACTGACCACTGTAGTAGAGCAGGTCTGTCGGAAGGTTGATCTTAGTGGGGTCTCGCATTTCTAGATTAAAATTAGAACATGAAGGAAGAGGTTTCATATTTTGTGTTCAATTAACATCTATTTCACATTGCATTGTTAAATAAACCATCTAGTCCGCATTAGAATTACAAGGTCGATGCCAAATTATGTAGATGTCAAATCTAGCGGTACCTAAGGAAGCCGAGGCCAAGTTATTAAGAATCAAATGTGAAAGAGAATGATTCTTTAATTAGGTTTACTACGAGGCCTAACATCAATCTACTTATTAGTGGTCGCTCGAAAATTTCAAAGACGAAGGCTGTATTATGTGCAAATCTCCTTTTGCGAAAGATTTTCAGAAGTTGAAATTTATTGGGGAAAGAAGTTCTCATATACGGACAACAATACGGACCTGCCGATTGTTCGCAACTAGGAAAAAATCACTGCAACTTTAACATTCGGTCTATTGTAAGAACGATGCTAATACACATTTATGAGGAATTCTGGAGAGAATCTCACCCATCTTTTATCAACATAAGACTGTACGTATCTGGATACCTTAAAGGAAAAAAAACTCTTCCTCCTTGATGGATTTGCTGGTATCCTATCCTGAACTTACGTGAGCAGTCAGGCACATACGAGGTAGGATTCCACTGTCCAGATGAGCCGCATGTGAACACATCGGTAGCAGGTTGGAATGGACTAGGAGCAGGGATGTCATAGTTATCATTACATGACATGCTGCAGTATCGACCGTAGGCCCAGGTATCACAAGATATGGCACCGTGACCGGGTGTGCGAAGCTTTAGACATGGCATTGCTGTCATCAAGAATGAACATAAAATTATAGGATTAAGCTCTTTGGCCGGGCGATGGCAATTACTGACACAAATAAGATCTTTAAATGCTATTAGTGTTAATTGCATCGTGTATATTTTGCTAATGTATCATAAATATGTGCTTACTCTAAATAGATTTTGCCAGCTTTAATATTGTTACGTACATCGAACGTTTCGCACTGATAGTACTCGAAATGATTAATTTCAAGTCAATGTATATTACTTATTAGTCTGCACATAGTTACAGGGCATTTATTCTTGAGTGAAACATGACGGCATGACTTGTTCAAGTTGAATATAGAAATATGAGTTTATATAGACAGCACCCATCTTAAGCATTATTGTAACCGGGTAATCAAAGACACATGCTTACGTTCGATATTGACATAGAAGTCGCAGATCCCACTCAGTCCATTCTTCATATTAGTAGCGGTGTATATCACGTGGTTAATTCCCCATGGCAACAGAACGCTGTTACAACCATAATTACAGACGAGTCGCACCTCAACCCCGGTGATTTCCCTATATGTCGGTTCATCCCAGGTTACTGGGGTCATATCCAAGCTTGTCCGCAAAATTTGGTCTGGTGGGCACGTTAAAAACTCGGGTACAACCGTATCTACCAGTAAAAGAAGGAACAAAACATCATTAATAATTAATGTGGAAGATTTTGTGTTTCGTATAAATTGTTGTGGATCTGTAATCTATTTTCAGTGGGCTTTTAAGGAATTCCTTTTATTTCCTTATATAAGTTGTTTCGAGTTATTTTTCACTTCATTCAATTGAGTGTACACATTCTTTGTGACAGAGCTTTATTTTTGGTGTAGTTAATCATAAACAAGGGAGTTTGTCCTTTTATTTGAGAAGTACATTCTGACAGATTGTGATCCTTCTTTGTTAAATAAAGGCGTTGGCATTTGAAACAAAACACTTTTTTACCGTGTATCTCGACATCAAAAGTGCACAAGGCAGCATTCCCCGCGTCGTCCCGGAAGTGATACTCGCAAGTAGTATCCGCAGTGAAGTTGTAAGGCGATGTGAGGTCCGCAGGAACTGTCCATGTCTGCAGCGTCTGGTCGAAATTGTCCGTAGCCGTTGGTTTTGAGAATGTGACTTCCACTCCCCAGTACTCAGTTCGTTGGGCGACCAAAGAGCTTGGGCAGTGCGAAATGGTTGGTGCATGATCATCTAAACAATCACAAGCAAAAAAAAAGATTATACGTGTTCGAAGAGACCCTTAATGAATGTGGTACATCTTGGGGGACAATCACAGGTTTCAACCATTATAATAATGGTTGAAACCTGAGTCATTCCCAGTCAATGCCTCGGTACCCTTGAGTAAGTCATTCATTCCAGTGGATAGGACTACTTAAAGCGCATATCTCCTGCATACTACTTACAAACATATCTCGCCTGCTTAACCATCAAATTAAATAAACAACAATCAATGAAACCAATAAAAAAGAGAGAGATAGGGGAAGAGGGAGAGTATCACGTCATCCAAATCAAAAAGTGTATTTGATCCAGTTATAAATCATTTGCAAAATAGTTTAAAATAGGTGAGAATTTACTCCTTTACGCTTTTTGTTAATCGACTAATATCGAAGACATCTAAAAGAAAGCGATTTCATGGTTTATTATACCAGTCCTGTTAAAAAACACAAAGAGTAAACAGTAAACACATTTACAGTACTTAGTATCAAATGTGTTCCTACCTGTGCATGTGGGTTGGGTGCCGGTCCATTGGGCCGCGTTACCACTAACCTCTTGGCAAACACGTTGAGATGACCCCGATAGAGTCAGTCCGGTGGCACACTGGTATGTACAAACTGACCCTACAGAGTTGGACAGTGTTGAGGAGAACTAGGACTACTGCAGCGGATCACTGCAAATATATTCCCAATGTGGAGATGAGTTATTTTCTTAATTAATTCAAATTAATATAAACTCTGTGTTTTGGCAGGCCCAAGCTTTATTGCCAGCCTTTGCGTTACATCTGATTTTATATTTGGCCTCATATAAGGTCCATCATCTAAGTTGATTCCAGATCAATATATAAGACCTAGCTTATTTAAAGATAAAGGTGAGTTCTGGTAATGCGATTGCATTGTGAAAGAAAAGGTGTGGAATGGATCAGAAACAGTTGATCATGTAGCATGTAAGAATTGGTGTGCACTGCAAGGTTATGGAGTCATCAAAATCATAATAAATTTGGCCGAGTCTTGGTAAAGTAACAAGCACTGTACACAGAAAGCTATATATGGGACAACACACATGGTGTCGGGGCTAGTACTACCTTGATTTCCTTGTCTTTCTATGCTCATTACTCAGCCAGTATACATTTTCTTCCAAAATTGTTTGGCACATGTCATTTATTTGTAACCTTGAACATTCAGTGTATGTTTCGCCGTTTTGATTCTGTGAGAATTAATTTTTTTAAACTTTTTTTTACCAGAACTGGAGTTTATCTTTAAGGTCAAATACAAAGTGAAATACACCTTTGGTTATCATATCTGACGAATTCAATACTATGTGTTGTTATTTGTACAAGGAGGGAGGGGCGATATACTTGTGGAGTAAAACGTAATGGATGGTTCCAGAGCATAGTTGGATATCAAAGATTCTAACATCCGTATTTGTACTAGATAATATATCATACAAATACAGACGAACTCGCTGTTCGAATTAAGAGGAGGCGGCGGTAACCCGGGTAATTATTAGCCCTGTAACTTGACGTGAGACGTGATTCGACAGATTTATGTCGGTTGATATTTGAATATTTAAATAAATATTATTTGTTACTGACTGGTGATTGAAGAAGTAAATATCTACCATTGACAGTAAAGGAAACGGTACAAGATGTAGACGATCCACTAGTGTCAGTGGCGGTGTATGCGATGCTGTGTGTCCCTTCGCCGAAAGAAGACCCAGATGGAGGACCACTTCGGCTGCAGGAGCAGAAGGAGAGGGAGAGAGAGAGAGAGAGAGAGAGAGAGAGGGTAAGGATCGAAGAAAAAGAGATAGAGGGAGGGGGCGGGGTATGTGTAGCAGATATTATAAAGAGAGCAAAAATGAGGCAGTCATCGAAAGACCCATATATATATATATGTTTCAGGATAGGAGAAGGGATGCAGCATTAACAGAAACATATATGAAAAATATTGAGAGAGAGAGAGAGAGAGAGAGGGGGGGAGGGGGGGGGGGTAAGGATCGACGAAGGAGAGAAAGAGGGAGAGGGGGTATGTATAGGATATATTATGAAGAGAGCAAATATGAGACAGTCATCAAAAGACCCACATGTTTCAGGAAAGGAAAAGGATGCAGCATTACAGAAACATATATGAAAAATATTGTGAGAGAGAGAGAGAGAGAGAGAGGGGGGGGGGAGGGGGGCGGGAGATATAATCGGATGAAGATGGAAGGGGCATAGATAGGAAGTGTTTGACACATTTCAAAGTCTATTAGTTTTTTTACCAACGACCAATCCCTAAATGGTGCATCGGCATTGGCACATCCCTCTTAAAAAGTTTCTTTCCTTTTTGATGTTTCTACCCAATAAATAGTTTTACATGGATTTGAGTTTTCTTGTGCTCCTTGTTTTTTTAATATTATAACATTATTAACAGGAAAGAGGAAGAAAGTTGTCGACAATCCTTTTCAAAGGCTTGCCGAAGCTTCTGGACATGTTAGTATCAACGATTGTGAAGACTTCGAGGAAAGCTCTGCTGCTCAGTCAATCCGTTCAAAGATTTTAATAAGGCCATTTTCTTCATGTAACCAAATTTATAATTTTTATTATCATTTATTAGTGCCTAGATACTAATAATTCGCAAATTTGTACTATAGTTTATACTTTCATATTTTCTGTTTATTTTGAATGCCATTATGCCAATGTATATGGAAATATGTTATGATCTTCCATCTCTTAACTTTGTTTATGAATATATATTGTGATGATGATAGAAATAAATTTCAATTCAATTCATACCCTTGGTTACGACTGGTTTTAATTCAATATGTGTCCATTACTCTCTCTCTCTTAATATTGAGTCCGTATTTCAGGTTGGTCATATTTAGTCCCGCTCAAAAGAAATATTATCTAATAAATTGGAATATATGCATTTTCTCTCCAGAACCTTTGGTTATTATTCAAATCTCCTGCGATGCATGTAATGAATATCTATAGATGGAATCACTTTGCATGTATGCGTCAATTGTT